AGATCCTGGCCAAGCATCTTCACAATAGAATTATTTGCTTAAACTCAGGCAAAATAAAGCTATTCTTAGAAATCCTGTAAGGCCAGTAGAGAATTATTGTTAACTCAACTACAGCTGTGTCTGAGAAGATCAGCCTCTTTAAATCCTTGCCTTACTGCAATCTCTTCAAGGAATGAGGAAGAAGCACTGAGACAGACCATTTTGACATCACAACCTAGGGATGCCTAGAGGTGGTGTCTTGAGTGACATCACTGAGAGGTAGCAGTGGCCACCACCAGCCTGCAGTGGTAGAAGAGGCATCCAAACACATGGGGGAAAAAGATGGTCTCTGGGGCTTCACCTGGACTCACCTTCTTGCTGACGTAGTCCAGTGGGTCCTCACCGGCTAAAAAGTCAGAAGAGACCATGGACCATGAAGTAACATACCAGTTACTTGGTTTTGCTGCAAATTCTGAGCCATTTATTTGAAAATATTTTCCCTCTTCTTGACATCTAATGTGCCAAGTGAGCCAACATCATTTGGGGGTGTTCAGAATAAGGGGGCTAATTCTTTGGAATCTACATTCTCCATTCTCATCCTATATCCAAATTCCCAAAATTACATCTGGGCAAGTTTCTTCATCTCTTTTTGGGAGGTGGGAAAGAATGGTACTTCCCCATCCCAGTGGTTTTCAATCCTGTCTGTGTCAATCACTTGGGGAGTTTTCCTAACTATATATTCTTTTTTTTTTTTTGGAGACGAAGACTCACCCTGCAGTGCAATGGCACGATCTCAGATCACTGCAACCTTTGCATCCTAGATTCAAGCAATTCTCCTGCCTCAGCTTCCCAAGCAGCTGGGATTACAGGTGCCTGCCATCATGCTCAACTAATTTTTTTGTATTTTTAGTAAAGATGGGGTTTCGCCACGTTGGCCAGGCTGGTCCTGAACTCTTGACATCAGGTGATCTTCCTGCCTCAGCCCCGCAAAGTGCTGAGATTACAGGCATGAGCCACTGCACCAGGTCACTAACTGTATATTCCCAGGCACCATCTGAGAGGCACCGACTCAGCAGACTGAGGCAGGACTGACTCGGGAAGCTGAATGCCTAGAGTCGGATACCAGAGAGCCTCTGGGCAAGAAGGTGACAACCAAGAACACAGAGTCAGGAGAAGGAAAGGACTCCACAGGAAGTAGAGCAGCGTGAGTAAAAGCCTATGTTTACACAGCCCCAAACACCTAGGTTTGAATGCTGGTTCTGCTACTTATTGTGTAATCTTGCATATATTAATTACTTAACCTTTCTGAGCCTCATACTCCTCATTGATAAAATGAAGACTTATTTCATGGGGCTGCTGAGAGAATGAAAATGAGATAACAGGCCGGGCGCGGTGGCTCAAGCCTGTAATCCCAGCACTTTGGGAGGCCGAGGCGGGTGGATCACGAGGTCAAGAGATCGAGACCATCCTGGTCAACAAGGTGAAACCCCGTCTCTACTAAAAATACAAAAAAATTAGCTGGGCATGGTGGCATGTGCCTGTAATTCCAGCTACTCAGGAGGCTGAGGCAGGAGAATTGCCTGAACCCAGGAGGCGGAGGTTGCGGTGAGCTGAGATTGCGCCATTGCACTCCAGCCTGGGTAACAAGAGCGAAACTCCATCTCAAAAAAAAAAAAAGAAAGAAAATGAGGTAACAATGTGATACATTCCACACAGAAGCTTGTATGTGGCAAGAGTTCAATTAATGATAGCCACATAGTCACTGAGGTGATAGTTATGTTATAAGACTATTACTATTAATAGGATTACCACTGTGAGGGGCTGAAATGTTGGCCACCACACTGCTGTTCCTTAAAGCAACAGGGGAGAAGGTGGGGTGGCTGCATTTCTGAAGCTATTTCCGCACAGTTTGCCCCTCTCCCTTCTGCTAACATCTCTTCCATCCCACAGACGGCAGTCTCCAAAGATTACAAAATTAAAAGTGACTGCTCCTTCTTGGAATTTCCAAAGTTTTCTTTTTTAAAAAAGAACAGTTTTAAACCTCATTGATTGAGACATGATAATTCTATTTATATTCTAAAAGTCTGGCCAGAAGTTTGCTTTTTCACTGTAGCTGGGGGAAAAAAGAAGGTTGCTAAGCCAGCATAAACAAACTTTCACACAGTCCCTTACTATTTAGGAGGATCAGCTTTGAGATATTTAGAAATGTCTTTTTAATACTGTATAAACAACTAGAATTTAGACAGAGAAGGCAGTCCTTAGGCTAGGTTTTGATAGGTTTATTACAAATAATTCTAGTTCCATATTCTGAATTAAAACCAAACAAAAAAACCCAGCAGTAAAAACAACCTTCTTCCCAGGACAGAGACTCTGGAATGAATGACGGCTCAGATTTCTCAGTCCACGCTGTTTCTTAATGCACATTCACATCTATGGGAAGAGACTCCGCTAGGTGCCATCTGTCTTGAATGCCTTTCTTTGAAAGGCTTACATCTTTCCTATGTTAAGAAGGATGTGCAAAGAGTGAGCGCAGAGCCACTTAACGGGAGCACAGGGCTGGAGCAGCACCACGGACAGGGCTGATGAGGCCCTGCTGGAGCTCACAGACAATATGAAAACCACAAATCAAGGATCCAGAAATGCAGAGACTTTCTTGAAACTTAAAAAAAACAACAACACACAACTCAAAACCAAAACCCTGTGATTATTTAACATGATCTAGCGCAAATGTTTCCTTCATTTATAAGACGCCTTGATCTAACGGAGTACATCAGTGATCTATGCCTGGATATGTCACCTAGGCAGGAGTGAGGGCGTGAGATGGAATTTATCCTATTTTTAAAAGCTCTCCAGGGAGGATGACTTTTTAGAAACTGTGTTAAAGTCTAGTCATCTTTGCTATTAAGAATTTTTTTAATCTCCAAACTAATTTTTTCCTTTTTATTCTTTAAGAGTATTTCTCCCTTTTTCGTCTCTGAAAATAAAAAAATAGTAAGGTTTGCTTCTAAATTATATGTGACAAGTTTTCATGATATCCCTTATTGTTTTTGCCTCTATGCAAAATAAATCCAGTTCCCGCATGTGCTGGACTTGATGCATGCCAAAACTCAGGCATGGTCGTCAGCAGGGGTTGCTAGGTGTGGTAGTCGATGACACAGCTCTGGCTGTGTGGCCGTGAAACCCCATCTTTCAGATCAACGGTCAAGCTGACTACAGAAGCTGTGAGTGCTGTCTATGGCTGGCCTAAGACAGTCTTCCAGTCCAATAGGAGCCACTGTTCCTCTGCACAGGACTTCTTCAAGTGGGCCTTCCTTTCCCTGTGTCCATGGGATGTTGTGCCTTCTGCATGTTCTGTGCCTGTTGCCTTGAAGGAAACTCTATCTTATGAGTGGGCTGGGTTCACAAGTCCAAGTAAAGCACAAATTTAAAAAATGCAAATAGTCAAACTTACTCTGAAAAAACTTCTCCCTAACTCAACTTAGTCAGTTGTTACTTCACGAATGCTTTTGTGTAGTAATCAGTACCATGAGACAGAAAGACTAGGCTCTTTACACCAAATAGACTCTTGTTGGCCGTGAGGAATCCTGATCAGGATTAAATTATCAGCTTTTAGTTCTGTAAATCTGGTTTTGTTCAGTAGATCTTTCTTTTCATTCAAAATGGGCCCCAGGCATGAAATGGTTAAAAACCAATTACTAGGGCATATGAAAGACCAAAAATGGACTATGGTATTTTAACTAATACTATACCCAACACATCCCAGTGTGTCATCTCATATATGACTGATCAACTAGAGTTTGGTAAGTAAGTGAATAAATAACTTTAACAACAATGAGAAGGGCTGAGAGGGATGGTCTGCTGAGCTGATTAGAGCAGAAAAGCATCAAGACTGTGGCAGTGGCACTCATCCCCAAGAAATAACTCTGGCTCCACAGTCCAAAGCCTTCACTCATCAGTGTTTTCCAGGTATTATTGAAGATCCATTATGTACCAGCAAGGTTTTCTGTGGCATTCTAGACACATGCTCTCACAACTGCCCCCACACTGGACACAGTATGCTAAAGTGGTCTTGCTGAACTCTACCAGATGGGAACTTCTGAGGACAGGGTACATGTCCAATTCATGGCATTACTTCCAACAACAGTGCCTGGCACACAGCAAGTATTCAATAATACTTGGATGAATGAGGTTCGGAGCACTCAACATCTCACCCTAGAACAGTATTTAATAAAACTTCCTCCTCCATACCACATCTACTCGCCCTCTTCTGGGTCACTCATCCAAAGATCATATAATCCCTGCTATTAGGATAAGTCTCAAGATGTTGCCCATAACTCACATTTTAGAAACTCCCTTGACACTTAGACTTTTTTCCCCAGAAAGAATATTTCTTAGACACAAATGTGGCTATCTTCCCTAGCAGGTACAAATTCCTATCCAGCTCTTTCATAAAATGTTTTCCAGATTCACTAAAACCCTTATTTTCAAGAAATGTCATCTCCCATTTGACTGAGTCTTATACCTGGATACCTGTTAAGGAATTCCCTACCAAAGAGAGATACCCTGAGGGCCCCAGCAATGAGTTAGTTGCAGGAGTGAGAACCAGGTAATTTTCCTGTTGACGGCTGGCAGATCTACCTCCTGCCCACCCACTATGATGACTCAGCTTCCCTGAGTCACTGCTCAATCACCAGCATCAGGTGACCACCTCAGGTACAAAGCCTTGGGTAGTTGGGTACAGGCAGCTTTTTTTCCAGAGCCCCACATGTTCAAAGCATTACAACTAAGCTAACACTGGCCACCCCATTAATCATGTAAACCCTAGGGGAACAGGACTGCAATACCATCTGGATAGACTCCGGTGATACAGTCAGCAAGGAGTGAGACACCACCACAAAACACAAGGTTAAAGGGAAGCAAATGACTGGGAAACAGCCCATAGCTGCCAGGAAAAAACCCAAAGTGAAAAAGAAAGTAGCAGCACCAGTACAAAGAGAGGCACACAATTTCCCTTTAATTACCTTCAGATTTAGGACTAGGAGTAGATGCAGGAAACTGGTAGGTAGGAGTGTAAGGATTGTCCTCTGTAGCAGAGAAAAGCAGTGGATTTTGAAACTATCCACCAGGAAGTAGAGGAACTGACAAATCCCAATGGACTCTGAATGACTGATTACCTATTTTAGTGTTATTAAGGCACACGGGCATCACACTTAAAAATAGATTAATGAATTAGAAAGGACTTGGTTATTTTAACATAGCACATCATGCAAATGAGTGAAATCAAATTTTCACCAGCCAAAAACGTCTATGAAAACAAAATCTAAAAGCCAAATCTTATGCCTACAATGGAACTATAAGAATTAATTTAAAGCTAGGACAACAGAGATGCTGTCTAAGTTTATGGTACCTTCAGAAGTTTGCTGGATTTCAGGAAGTTCAGGGAATTTGTACGTAGGGAAATAAGGGTTTTCTTCAGGAGTGTCTAGGCAGAGGAGCAGGTTTGGGAGAGAGAATAGAGGAAGATACAAATGGAGAGAATAAACGAGTAGGAATCCACATACAACTTAGGCTCCTTGGATTCTGGAACATACTAAGCTTCACCAGTGATATGAAAGAAATTCAGACTGCTTTTAAAAATCCAGTCCTTTTGCCTGAATTACCGAGACACATTGGAAGAGACAACATCATTACTTTTGTTGGACAAAGAATTGCCATGAACAGGCTCCAATGGGCAAGAAACGTTTAACATAAAGCTTCAGGTTTTTACTTTTGATAGGCAAGAAATATTAAGTATGATAATAAATAGTAGGTAATAAACATGCTATCCTAAAATGATTTTTTAAATCAACACGTATGTTGTAGACATTCAGCAAACAATAGATCATTAATTTTTCAAATACCTCTGCCTACCTTTAAGGCAGGTAGTTTCATTTAACACCTAAAATTTAGGTTATGAACTGTAACATGAGAAAACAAAGCTGCCTGTGGGGCAAAATTACATATTTTGCACATTTACATGCATCCATGTCTCTGCAATTAGACTTCCAAAGCGGGGTCTGAAGGTGACAGAGTCACAGATTGCATGAGGAAACAGGCAGTGGCTTCAGGAAGTGATGAGTGGAGCTAACCCCATCTGATCACAGAAATCCAAGCATTTAATTTCACCAGTGTGACCAAGCTCATCCATCCAACCACAGTGGATTTACTCTTGACTTGGAAATGCTAAATGCCTCAGTATCTAGAGCACTTCAATATTTAGAAACAGTTTGAACAGGGGCACACTCAGGTTCATTTTGAACCCAGCAGGAGTTAATTAACAGTGATGTTAGTTGGCATCTGCAGATCAGAGAGATTGGACGTAGGTGGGAACACTGACCAGAACACTTTCTCTTTGCCTTCATGTGTCATCCATGCCAGGCAGCCAGACTGGATTTGGGGAAGGGGAAGGACAGGATGCTTTGGCCATGGGAGGAGTGGTACCCTTCCCACAGTGCAGTTACATCCTGCCTATCAGCTGGCTGGCAGCACAGTCAGCGATGGGAGCCGGTGGGGTCATGTCCTGCCCGAGCACTGGCCTGTGGTTCTCCATGCTGGGTCACCTGCTGATAGCCCAGCCGGCATATGATTTGGAAGCACTGCTCTTTCAGCTTGAGCGGGCTGTGGTGTGTCAGCTCCTGACTGACTCTCAGGGCTCCCTGCCAAGGGCTGGCTCTCAGCTGGGGAAGATTATTGTTCCTATCAATACAGCCTTAGAGGTGCACTATGCATGCTACTTCATAAGGCCAAATATGTTCTCCTTTAGGCCCTGTGGCATCCCCTGAAGGAAAGGAAGCAGAACAAACACAGAAAGGTACATGATTGGCCCAAGGTTATCTGAGTGCTTGGGAGACTGAATCCAGGTGAGAACAGTGTTCTTAATTCCCAGTTCTGTGTGTTCTCAACTCACTCCGCCCACAAGGCAGTCATGGGCTGACACAGGGAGATGTACCTAAAGCTGGAAGCAGGTGGGAGATGGAGCTGCTCACATCCCAGGCAGACAGATGCTGGAGCACTGGGCTCTCAGCCTGCTGCATTCCACATCTGGGAGGGAGGATTGGAGAGCAAACCTCAAATTCCAACTCTGAGGCAGGCACACAAGTGCTTCCTCCCTCCTATGCTCTGAAGGTGCATGGCTGGGCTCAGGCAAACCAGTACCTAATGAGGTCCAACTGCAGGACCCAGTCTTCTGGCATCCTAGCAAAGTGAGTTCAGGCCCACAAAACAGTCAGTGCACTGGCACATCGCACAGCACAGCTTCTACAAATGAAAATCAGTACCTCTGTTTAGTTTGTGGATCTGTTTAAACATAGTCTTGTACCAGTCTTTTGATCGCTCAGTGTTCTGTAGAAAAACAAAGGAAAAGTAAAATAAAATGAATATCTTGATGCATTTTAGACCTCCTATGATTTCAAAATCAAAATGGAGAGTAGTGATATCTGAATTCAAAACTCAGCCACATTTATCTTTTTTAAAAAGGCAAAACTTTTCAGAAAGAGAAAACCAGGGGTCTGAAACCTCAATCTACAGAGTACTATTTGGCCAAAAGGACACAGATTTTGAAAACAGTGGATGAGGATCCACTTGAAATGTATCCATTTTTAAATTTTTAAAATTTTATTTTTAGAGAGAATCTCTCTCCATATATAGACTGTGCCAAACTGAAGGAAAGTCTCCTAGAAATGTAAGAGACAAAGAATATTTGCTTGTCATGCTGTGCCCCCACCCATTCTAGATTATTCAGTAGAAATGTATCCGAGTCACCTTATATAGGGCCAGATTTAGAATGCATACATTAAAACATAGCTCATTATAGCATCTACTGCCAGAGTTTTCACCCTAACCACAATGTTGGAATGGTTGGTTGGTTTTTTTTAAGATAAAAATAAAACAAGAAAGGTGACAGATAGGTGGCTAGAGAAGACATTTTCACTCCCACCTTACAGAAGAGGAAATGAAATACAGAATGACAAAGCCCAAGGTCACAGAGCTGATGAGAAAGTGAGTGGAAGAGCCATCCAACATGATGGTTAGGGGTATAGGTTTGGGAGTCAGACAGACCACTCTGTCACCCACAAGCTGTGCAATCTTGGATGAGTAACAAATCCCTCAGAGTCCCCGTTTCCTCATCTATAAGATGGAAATGATATTAGTATCCACTACTAACTTGAGTGAGTGATGTTTAAATGAGATAATGTACTCAGCAAATGGTAGCTGTGATTTCTCTTAGGAATAACTCTCCTTCTATATTATTACTTAGGACCAGAGAAGAGTTCTTTTGAGGCTCAGCCCACTGTGGTTTCTATCGGCCTCCTCCAAAACCACACATTTGTTAAAAGGAAATCACAGTGGGACATACTGCAGCCAATGGTCTGGTAGACACATGGGAAAGAACGAAAATTCACCCAAATCCAGTTCCAAAAGTTGGGCTTCCCCGGAATTCCTTAGAGCCTGCAGGACTGGCAGGCCTGTGCTGCCAGGGAGAGCGGGGTCAGGGATGCCGTGGGACCCGCTCTGTCCTGGAAGCGTGGCTGGCCGAATACATTCCAAGTTCCCTTAGAGTTCCCTACTCACTATGGATGACAAGTGATCTCCCATCCACGGGGATCTTCTTCCTGAACCTATAAACAGGGACCTTGGGCCTCACACTCTCCCCAAAATTATCTAACCCTAAAGTCAGGAATTTCTCAACACAGTGCAATAATGAAGAAAGACTGCCCATAACATTGTCCCTGGAACACTCACAGACTCAAAGCCTCTGAAAAGTTCTGCAGCAGAGAAATCTCTCTGACTTGATTCCACCCAGCTTTTCCTCATGTTTACTTGACCATGAAATCATTTATTCATAGGACTTATACCATCCAACACCCACTTTGGGAAAAGCAATTGGACACCAAGCCTGGAGAACAGCTCCTGGGGGCTCTGGCACTCATGGGGCTTACAGAGACGATGGTGTGATGGGGTTCGCATGTTTTCGGGGTGTACACTTGTCACAGCTCAAGATGAAGCCTAAGAAGGACTTCTAGTTCAATATGCATACCCGGAGTGGGATGCCCACTTCATCCATGGAAACATCGCTTAGGTCCTGAGCGCTCTTCACCACCCGCCTACTGTCATCCTTTGCTCTTTTTTCAGCAGCCCTGGCAGGTGAGGTGGGTTTTTCCTGGGTTGGTGCTGAGTCCTGCTCTCCCACTCTTCTTTCTGAGACAGTATCTGGAAATGAAAAGCAATTGTTAAGCTGAAGCTCTTTTGGTAGCTGCAAAGTAAAACACTTCTGAACAGGCTAGCTGTGGGGGGAGCGTGTTTGCTAATTCTCAACTGGAATTAGTTCTGCTTAGAGTAGGGGTCAGCAAACTATGGCCCATGGGCTGGCCACCTGTTTTTATAAGTAAAGTTTTACTGTAACACAACCATGCCGATTCCTTTACCTATTATTTATGGATTCCTTTGCATTACTATGGCCGAGCTGAGTAGCTGTGACAGAAACCATATGGCTTGCAAAGTCTAAAATAGTTATCATCTTGTCCTTAAAAAAAAAAAAAAAAAAAAACGCTGGCCAACGGTGTGATCAGAGCTTTGCAGAGGTATGCACATTGTGTTCTGGTCAACTGAGTAGTTCTGACTATTCTAGAAATTAAGGAACAGGTAGAACCACAGGAGGGGGCTGAACATTACTTGAAAGCTTTTGATTCCTCTTGAGGAAGTCACTTAACTTTTCTGTGCCTCAGTTTCCTCATCCAAAAACAGGGATAACACTTCTATTGGCAAGCTCACAGCAATGTGGTGAGAGGACTTAACAGGATAACTTATGCCAAAGTGTTCAGGAAGCTGTTCATTGCTAAGTGTACATTACAGATTATTTTTGTTCAAGATTGGAAGTTACAGAGGACTAATAAAGATACCAGATATGATCTGCAGATTGTAAAATTACTTAATAGAATCTGGTTTCCAAGCTATGACATTTATTTACTGGGCAGACATTGTGCTCTGCCTTGTGAACATGAAGGTGAGTATTCCAGAATCCTAGCCTTCAGGGAGCTTACAGTCCAGCAGGCAGAAAAAGCAAGTGAGCCAGCAATGAGAATGCAGGGTGATGAGGGCTGATTCTCAGAAGAGAAGCCACCCAAACTCACAGAAAGTGAAGGGTGCTCCAAACAGAGGGAACAGCTTAAATACTTGAGGGTCTCTGAACTACTGAGCTAATTATGTGCCAGGCATTGCACTAAACTCTTCATATACATTATCTCATTTTATCCTCCCAATGATCTGTGAGGAAGAAACTATTATCACCTCTTTTTTTTTTTTTTTTTAATAGTTAAAGGATCAATACACAGAGAATTTAAAGTATCCTGCCTGGGGCCACACAACCAGCTCATGGCCAAGCTGTGATGTGGCCTAATGTTCACCTGACTCTAGCAGTCCTCTCTGAACCACATCCTGTCTTGCCTCCTCCAAAGACAGTACCAAGGTTTCAAGTCTGGGAGCCTAGCCTAATCCAAATGCAGAAGTTAGAATTGGGTTGGGAAAGGGAGGGGAAAATGGCTGCATCCATTTGAATCATGGTAACCTTGTGAAGACAGCAAGACACTCAAGTAAGAATGCCCTAGAGACCCCTAGAGGAAATATGGAGGGGCCAGGCATTGCACTATACTCTTCATATGTTTATGAAGTGATGGCTGATGCCAGAGAGATGGCAGAGCTCAGTGGTGGACAGAAGCGCTAAAGTTATGCATGGAGGGACACCACAGTTACACCTGCAAGGCAAAAGAATCCCCAAAGGAATGCAAAGTCGTCCGAGGAGATGAACCAGGAAAATACACAAGGTGCCACTGAACCAGGGAAGACAGAACTCCAAGAAGTGGGTGGTTAAGTGTCTCAAAAAAAAAAAAAAAAAAAAAAAACCCACAGAATGTGAAGCAGAGGAGGCGGCATTAGATTAGGCAAGAGAGAAGTCACAGGAACACTCCAAGGGAGCAACTTCAGGAGGGCAATGGGGGTGAGTGCCAGATTGCAGGGAAAGGGTTGAAGGTGTGAGCAGGAAGCTGGGGGAGTGAATGGGGAATTCAGCACAGAGGAAGGAATGTGTTAGATGGTAATTAAAGAGGGTCAAAAGATTAGGGGCAAAAAGCTTTAAGACGGCCAGGCCAGGTGCAGTGGCTCATGCCTCTCAACACAACAGGAAGCTGAGGCAGGAGGATCGCTTGAATCTAGAAGTTCAAGACCAGCCTGGCAACATGGCAAGACCCCATGACTACAAAAAATTAAAAAATTAGCCAGGCACATGCCTGTTGTTCCAGCTATTCAGAGGCTGAGTTGGGCGGATCTCCTGAGCCTGGGAGGCTAAAGCTACAGTAAGCCATGATTATGCCACTATATTCCACCCTTGGCGATAAACCGAGACTCAGTCTCAGAAAAAAAAAAAAAAGTTTAAGCCAAGGGAGCCTAAAATCCTATCAATGAGAGTGAGGCCCATGAGGTAAAGGATGAAGGGCATCAAAATGTGCTGTGGCAATTAGTAAGTGCTCAGTTAAAACCTGCTCATTGATTGACTGAGGACAGGTTCTCATCTTTGAGAAAGGATAAGGTACAGACTGTTGGCCGGGGGACAAACCTGGGAGCAAAGAAAGAATGTGAGGACACAGACAAAGTTGTAACAAAGTCAGAGATGCCTGTGAGTGGAGGAGATGCTGGAGAAGCGCGAGAAACAACGACGTCAGCATGCTCAGGTTCTACGACTTTCAGTCTCCTCCGTGGGGCGACTGCCCACACCCAGAGGATTTCTAAGCTTAGTAAGTGCTTCCAAAAGCCTGATCCCTGGCAGCATCACCGTCAATGTCAAAGGATGTTAAGACCAGATTGGCTTTATGGAATGGGTTCTCATGCCCCCGGAAAATTCCAATGGGAGGCCAAGGATTTGGCAGGAAACCTGGAAGAATAGAGGGATTTTGAGTTACCCGTTCTACCCTTAATGTGGCTCTGCCGAGCACTCTCCTCCCACCTGGAAAGGCCTTCTGTTGAGTGTGAACAGAAGGGAAGAGATGAGGCTGACTTCAAGCTCAGTCTCACCTGGGGCTTTAAGATCAGGCTGAGGATCACAGACATGCCATTCTCAGGGTTAGGGCAGGTGGTTCTAACAACAGTCACTTCACTGCAAAATCAGGCTGACAGTCCATGGATTTGTCCTAAAGCTTTCAGAGTCCTTTTGATCTACAAAAACTAGCCATGAATTGTTTTGCTTGAGAAGCTTGTGGTCATATGACTCATCATTGAGTGGATTTCAATATACAGAGATCTCCTGAAGAAAAAGCGTCCCTTTATACAACGAAAACCTAAAGTGACACTTAACTGTACCACGCAGGTGACAGGACCAGGCATTGACACCTGTATTACAATGAAGGTTTGCTGTTTTCTCGGTAGGAAAAAACTGATCCTTCACATAACACCCTGGGAGCATTTCCTTCTAGCCCTTTTTTTTTTTTTTTTTTTTTTTCTTTTTTTTTCTAATTACACAGGGTCTCGTTCTCTCACCCAGGCTGGAGTACAGTGCCATGATCATGGCTCACTGCAGCCTCAACCTCCCTAAACTCAGGTGATCCTCCCACCTTTGCCTCCCAAGTGGCTGGGACTACAGGTGTGTGTAACCACACCTGGCTAGTTTTTTTTGTATTTTTTGTGGAGACTGGGGTGTTGCCATATTGCCCAGGCTGGTCTCAAACTCCTGAGCTCAATGAATCTGCCCACCTCTGCCTCCCAACTGCCCACCTCTGCCTCCCAAAATGATAGGATTACAGGTGTGAGTCACTGCACCTGGCCTCAGTTAATTTTTTGTATTTTTTTAATAGAGCCGAGGTTTCACCATGTTGCCCAGGCTGGTCTTAAACTCCAGAGCTCAAGCAATGCCTGCCTTGGCCTCCCAAAATGTTGGGGTTATAGGTGTGAGCCACTGCAAATCTAGCCTCCTAGTTTTATACTGTGCCTTAAAAAGAAAGGTTCTGAGCCACTAAATAAATGACAATACTGACAACCTCAGATAGGGCCTCTGTTTGCAGGAGGTGGGATAGCCTCCCTTCTCTTCACATGGAGAGCTGGTGACTGAGGATTACAGCAATGCTTACACTTCTCTGCAGAAGAACGATGGCCCCTCTATACCTATGCCAGCCACGCTCTCCCAGGCCTTATCTTATTATCCCATCTGTCTCCCCAAGGGGACCAAGAGGTACCTGAGAACACCATGTAGGCTTCATTCCCAGATGACTCTCCCTGAACATCAAACCCCATGGAGGCTCAACAAAAATCTGCTACAGAGAGGGAGTCTGGCAGCCCTGGAGTCCCGTCCCCATAGGTGATGGATATGCTTACTTGCTGTAAGAGACTGGAGAGTGCCAACCCAGCCAGCCCTCTCCCTTTCGGGAGCTCCTGAACAAAACGGTAGTACTTCTTTTAAAGCATAAACTAATATTTAGTGAGCACCTACTTTAGGCCCCACTCTATCAAACATCATCAGTCGATCTGTCCCAAAACTCAGGGAAAGCAATAGCATTAGGCTATTTTAGAGCCAAGGAATGAACCTGAGCTGCCAGCACAGTGGCGCCATCCTCACTTTTTCTTTTGTCTTTTTTTTTTTTTTTTTTAACAGATGTGTACCACCATGCCCAATTAATTTTTGTATTTTTAGTAGAGAAGGGGTTTCACCATGTTGGTCAGGATGGTCTCCATCCCCTGACTTTGTGATCCACCCACCTCAGCCTCCCAAAGTGCTCGGATTACAGGCATGAGCCACCCCACAGTCACATTTTTACTTCTCAATGCACAAAACATCCTCCCCCTTCCTGTCACAGTAACACCTCCTCCAGGCTGGGGCAAGGATTACCACCCTTGTCTCCCATATGAAGAAACTGGCTTAGAGAGAAGTCACTCCCACAGAAATAGCTCCAAGAAGAAGGAGCTAGGACCAAGCTCTACATTTCCTAATGTGTGGCTGGAGGCCTTTTTCATCTTGTCTACCCTTCTTTCAAATTCCCACCAACAGGAAGGAGCCCACAGGAGCCACCTTTTTTTTTTCAGAGCCACCACTCTTAGCAACCTGAGCTGGGGCCAGGGAATGAAGCGGGCTGAAGAGTGGCAGCTGGAGGAGGGGCAGCCAAGGGCACCTTGAGCTCAACCACAGCCTGTCTTGGTCTCACAGCCAAGTCCTGATAAGGCTGAGAGGGTGTGAGAACCCCATGTCCTCCCCACCCAGGCTCACCACCAATCACAGAACAGCAGTGGCAAGAAGTTGCACAGAAATCATGTAGCAGCTATTCAGAAAACAGTGGCTTCTGTTTTCCACCAATCAGATTCTTAACCCTGAAGTTCATGAGTGTGTGCAATTCCACAGAAATCATGTCCACATGTTTACACATGTATGGCTTTTTTTGTTTTGTTTTGAGAATCAATCTATTGCCTTCAATAGTTTCTCTAAGGAGTCCATGACCAAAGAAAAGTTACACACTTTTGCACCACACAGTTACCACCACACTATTCGCTGCTCAAGGTCAGCACCGTTCTCTGATGTAACGTCAGATCCCAGCTCAGTGCAGGATACAAAGGAGGCCCTGAATACAATGATAAGTGAACCCACAGAACGCTGCCTGGTAAATGGAATTCACATCTATTAAGCCACACATCTATTCATCAGCAGCTCAGTGCTGAGCTGTTAATGAGCAGAATCTCATTTGATCATCATACAACCTGGGAGTCACGACTGCTTTCCTCATTTTACAGTAAGAAAACTGAAGCCCAGAGACATTATATAACCTGCCTAAGGCAGCACCAGACCCAGGATTCAAAGCAGAATGGTTACAGGAAGCCACAGGAAATAGCTACACATTTCCCTTCCTGGGTTCGCTCCCCACTCTGACATGGTCCCAATCCTACACACTTTATCAGGGGGTGAGCTAATTCTATTTGTATATGTCTGATTATATTTGCAGTCACTCCCACCATTGTTGACTCTTGCCACCGCCACACTCAAGTGTGGTCAGCACAGGGCAGCATCAACATCACCAGGGAGCTAGGCAGAAATGCACATTCTCTTGGCCAGGCACGGTAGCTGGTACCTATAATCCTGGAACTTAAGAGGCTGAGAGGGGAAGACTGCTTGAGGTCGGGATTTGAGATCAGCCTTGGCAACACAGTGAGACTCCATCTCTACAAAAAAAAAAAAAAAACCTTAAAAAACTAGCTGGGCATGGTGGCGCATACCTGTAGTCCCAGCTACTGGGGAGGCTGAGTTGGAGGATCACATGAGCCCAGGAGTTCCAGGCTGCAGTAAGCTATGATTGTGCCACCGTACTCCAGCCTGGAGTAAACAGAGCAAGACTCTGTTTCAAAAAAAAAAGAAAAAAGAAAAGAAAAGAAAAAGAAATGTAAATTCTTACCCATAACCATTAAATCCAAATCTCTAGGGGCACAGCCCAGGAACCTGACTTTTGACAAACTCTCCAGAAATTTCTGATGCCAACTCAAGTTCAAGAAGCAGATTTATTACACTGACTTCTGGGCACTGCTGGTCTGAAGGTTCTCACCTGGACCCACCACCTCAGGGTCATCTACCAGCATTTGGGCTTGCCACCCAAAAAGGAGAGAACTTACCCACATCTCTCAACCCCTGACTCCTCACATCCCAGATGGAAGACAGAAGCAGCAGAAAGATGACCTCTTCAGAGAGGCCTGCCATGAACACTCATCTAAAGTAGGACTCCTGGTTCTTTTCACCTAGAACATGCTGTTCTTACCCATCAAGGCTCTTATTACAGTTCCATGGGACATGTTTACTAGTGTGGTTCACTGGTCTGGTCTGTCCACCAGCCTACAAGCTCCAGGGAGGCAGGAACTATGCTTATTTTCATCATCTTGGTAGTCAACAACAAAGACTCCCCCAAAACACATCAGAGGCTCTCCGAAGATTTTGCTGATTGAACATCGGGTGCTGACCGGAAGACAGTTTCAACAGGAACAGGGGTTAACATGTAAATAAATATTTCTCACCTACCTGAAAGGCTACTGAGTCGTTTTTGCTGTTCTGTGATTTAAAAAAAAAAACAAAAAAAAAAAAACATGGTTTAAGTGAGATTTATACAGTACATAGCAAGACCAAGAAGCCCTGTCATAACTAGTTATGATCTCAATCCTGCATCCTCTCACTGTCCTCTGGACTTAGATACTACAATGTGCATGAAGCCATCTGACTGCAGGCTACCTGCATCATTAGCATGCATCAGCCACTGCATCATTAGCGTGGCTCCCACTACACCAGTGTGGTATCTCCCAGCCCGCCCCACTCCCAGATCTGCACCAGGATTCAGGGGACTGCCACAATTTTCTAGCTGTTTACATCTTATCTCAAGATGATTCCATCACAGAAGGGAATCCACCCAACCTTCCAGCTTCAAGTGAGCAAGACCTTATATGACCCCAGTCTTGGTACCTTTTGAGGGAAATGTAATTATAATCATAACCATGTCAGTGACCATCTCTTGAGAGCTTGCTGAATGCCAAAAGTTGTTTTAACGCTTTTACAAATAACACTTGTAAACTTTGCAACAACTCTAGCAGTTAGTTGGCTACAATTATTCTTTCCCATTGTACAGAAGAGAAAACTAAGGCCTAGCCTTAGCCACTGTAGTAATCTGGCTTGTCCAGAGTACAAGAGAAGTCTTTTAAAAAATCAGCAATGGTTGAGAGACTTCAGAGAAGGGGTACAAATCACCCAAGATAACTCTGAAAATCAGCTGGATCTAGAACCTGGATTCCTGACTCCTAGTCCAGAGTTCATTCCAATTCTAGTCATCAAGAACCTGCTGGTCCTGTGCACTGAAGGGCTACTGGTTTCTCACCATCCTGGGCACTCACATGGAAGGGAAGCCACTATGTCCTTTGCAGAGTCCTATGTGTACGTGCTATGAGATGAGAGCACAAAAATGACCTTTACCTTCCACAGCTGCTAAATATAAAGCAGTCACATAGATAAAAATAGAAAGTTTGCCAACCCCTGGGTACTGTCTTCATTCCCCTTGGCTGCGTCCCCACCTTCCTGCTACAATCAGTATGAACCCGAAGTAAACAGCGATCAGCCCAGGAGCTCACGGCCTGGGAAGCGGTGGCTGGCCACTTCTGCCACGTGGATGAGGTTCGTGCTGGCTAAACATGCAGAAGCCCAGTGCAGCTCGGCCTCAGCTCTGCCAGGAACTTCCAGATGACAATGGCCAATCACTAAACCTCCCAGCCTCCATTTCCTTGTCCATTATGTCAAAGTGTCCTGTGGTACTAAGGAGACCTATGGTTTCCACACACTATTTTGAAGGCTGCTGAGCTTCAGCCAGCAGAAGTGAACGTATTCCATTTAAAAGACCACGTTGTCAACATGGCAAAACCCCATTTCTACTAAAAATTACAAAAATCAGCCGGGCATGGTGGCACATGCCTATAATCCCAGATACTCCAGAGGCTGAGACACAAGAATTACTTGAATCTGGGAGGCAGAGAGTGCAGTGAGCCAAGATCATGCCACTAATCTCCAGCCTGGGAAATGGGGAAAGACCCTATCTCAAAATAAATAAATAAATAAGACTACTTTGGCCAGGCACGGTGGCTCATGCCTGTAATCCCAGCACTTTGGGAGGCCAAGGCAGGCAGATCCCTTGAGCCCAGGGGTTCAGGACCAGCCTGGGCAACATGGTGAAACCTCGTCTCTTCAAAAAATATTTGAAAATTAGCTAGGTGTGGTGGCATGCATCTGTGGTCCCAGGTACTCTAGAGGCTGAGTAAGAGAATCACCTGAGCCTGGGAGGTCGAGGATGCAGTGAGCCATGATTGCACCACTGCACTCTAGCCTTGACAACAGAGTACTGCACTCTAGCCTTGACAACAGAGTAAGACCTGCCTAAAAAAAAAAAAAAAAAAAAAAAAAAAGATGCAGTTGTCTCCAGTTCTGAGGTGTGAAATGGCCTTTCTTTCCTAGGATGACATGCAACACAGATAACAGCAGCCACTTTTAGTGCTGTTATTTTAAAGCATTAGAATGAAACTAGACTGTTTCATGTGTCCGTAAGGTAAGTCTGGGAACCTCTGAGCTCTAGTTCTCAATGTGGTCTAAGCTCACTGAAAATGCAGAATCTCGGGCCGGGTGCAGTGGCTCATGCCTGTAATCTCAACACTTTGGGAGGCCAAGGCAGGCAGATCACAAGGGCAAGAGATCGAGGCAATCCTGGCCAACATGGTGAAACCCCGTCTCTATTAAAAATATAAAAATTAGCTAGGCATGTTAGCAGATACCTGTAGTCCCAGCTACTCAGGAGACTGAGGCAGGAGAATTGCTTGAACCCGGGAGGGAGAAGTGCAGTGAGCTGAGATGGCACCACTGCACACTCCAGTCTAGCGACAGAGCGAGACTCGGTCTCAAAAAAAAAAAAAAAAGAGAAGAAAAGAAAAGAAAATGTAGAATCTCGTCTCTTCCACCCCAAACCTTGTGAGGCTGAATGTGCAGGTTAACCAGACTCTCAGGATCCTAGGCACATAGACTGAGAAGCCCTAAGCAAGGGGACTCACACACCTCTTTTAATCCTGAGAGTTTTCCGATTCAAAGCCTCCCTCCCAGACTGATGGTAAGTGACTCACCTTCAAACCCATGTGGTGTGAAAACTCAGGAAAGAGGGAGAAAGGGCTGTGTTGTTCACAACTATCAGTGCCAGCCCAGAGGCTGAGTGCCCCTCAGTGCCTTTCTAGTAGGAGGAAGCTGGCTTGGAGAGACAGGATTATTGCCACACTATGCCCTGGGACAGTCTTAAAAAAAAAAAAAAAAAGGGCAGTGGGTAGGCACTTCTTTAGTATGACTAAACTGGAATTCCAGAAGTGGAGTAAAGTTATTCCCTCAGGAAACTTTGCAATAGTTAAGAAATTATTTTTAAGGGTACTGTTTATGAAGCAAAGCAGAGCTGCCTGGTTAGGCAAATTCCAAAGCAATGCCAAAAACACTTGACCTAAACTCCATTTATGATTAGTAACACAGGGCTGGGCCAGCGAAGCTCTTCTATTCTTCTTGACTCTTCCTGTCCTACCTGCTTAGTGAACATATGGTTTTGCTCTTTATGGAAAGCTACGATTTAATTCCAAAAAATTAATGCCATTTCTTGTATCCTTTTCTGAAGGATGTGTGACTCAGGCTGCACAATTCTGATTTTTAAACCCAAGGGCAGGACTTGGACAAAAGAGAAAGACATTTGGGTAAATAAGAGGAATCAATCTATTCAAGAAAAAACAAAAAGGAACTACAGGCATTTCTGTGCCCAAAGATGTCTCACAAGGTGTCATCAGAGGGACTTGGCAGAAGCAGCTGACATTACACTTGGCATTTCCCAAAAACCAAGTTGCCTTGGAAATAAATCTCATTTCTAAAGAAACTGTCTGTCCTTCTGGGAACTAACTTGCTTCTGTTTGACTGAATTTTAAAAACTATATATGAGTCATAAGGAAGTTCAGAGAAACAAAATTTTACTTTGTCCTGTATTACAGACACTTTCTGGGCAAGGAGAGCCACTGCCAGTAAGGCACATGGCACCAGAGGAGGCGAATGGGCTCCTTCATGGTTCATTGTGGGAGCTGGGGCCCTTCTGTTCTTTCGAAGAACACAGATTCATGGGTGAAAATTAATACAGGAGCTACACATAGTGAAAAAAATAATGAAACTACTAAAACAACCTTAAGATTTTAGTGGAAAACTCCAAAGTGAAAGAAAATGTTTTATTCATCTGCTTTTCAAGTTAGAAGGAGAAAACAGAAAAACTCTATTTAGTATGAAAAACAATTAAAAATAGACTCCAGTCCTATTCTCATTCAAATTAATGCAGAGAGGAAGGGGGAGGGGAGGGGAGTGGAGGAAAACTATGAAGCAGGAGAGCACAGAGTCATCAAGAAAAGGATGATGTGAGCTCTGAACAAAATAATTAAACCTCCACTGTTACTGAAAATTCGGACGAATGAGCCCTTTCTACAAGCAGAAACAGCTTGAAAACCTTACATTTCACGCTACAAAGGACTTTTGTAAAGAGAAAGTGTATTTCTCTATGGAATTCCGAAAAGGAAAACTTGGGATTTTGAATCACCATCTGGAATTTTAAAGCAGAAGGGTCAACATATACAATGGCTACCCCAAAGCACTTCTGTTTCACCCCACCTCAAGGCTTCTCTGCTTTTCTTGTCTTTTTCTTTTTCTTTTTTTTTTCTTTTGAGACAGAGTTTCGCTCTTGTTGCCCAAGCTGGAGTGCAACGGCGTGATCTCTGTTCACTGCAACCTCCATCTCCCATCAAGCAATTCTCCTGCCTCAGCCTCCCGAGCAGCTGCAATTACAGGCATGCACCACCACACCCGGCTAATTTTTAGCAGAGACAGGGTTTCTCCATGTTGGTCAGGCTGGTCTTAAACTCCCAACCTCAGGTGATATGCCCACCTTGGCCTCCCGAAGTGCTGGGATTACAGGTGTGAGCTACCATGCCCAGCCTCTGCTTTTCAGAGAAGTAGGAAAACCAACCAGAAGCAGTCAGAGACATTACAGAAAACAAACACAAAAACCCTAAGCAGAGCTGCCTAGAACCACATAGTACAAATGGCTGGCAAGAATGAAGGCCAATGAGTCGTCAAGAATAATTCAATAGTCTCTGTTTTCAAGGTTACAAAAACATGTTTTATATTCTAGAAAATGGTCTACACGATATGTTTTCTTTTTTAAAATTTGGTACTCTAAATTCTGCTCTCTAGAAATTTCATTATGTCAAAAAACTAAATCATTTCAGATACTATTTAAAAGAGGTTTATTGTACCTAGATTTTTGAAGCTAAACCTCTAATTACAATCAAGAGACACAAACTGTTTCCTTTCTTCTTCTTTTTATTTTTTTATTTTTGGATGGTATGATTTGCAGAAGACAATCATGAACACCCAAGGAGTAGAACTAACCCAGCTTACTTATTCAGACAGCTGACATCACCTCAAATCAGGGGCCTCTGTCTGCCGGAGTTTATTTTATGGCCCACAAGAGTGAGTAAACTGGGGCAAATGGCCTTGGGAAACAATGGGATTTGTGAATATGTATGTGAAATAACAGAATTTTCGACCCAAATACCATGGAATAGCTACGCCGGTTCCAGTGGGCTTGGGAGTGGGGCACGAGACTCTCTTACCTCGATTGTGTTGTAAGAGCACAATAGTAGGATTGACAATTGTTGTGGAGGGATAGGCGGACGAAGGCTTGCTAACTGGTGGAAAGGCTTGGGAATCAGTTCCAACAAGGGAAGAAGAAACTTCATTTAGTAGAGGACTGGAATCCTGAAACAAACAAACAATGTAACTAACTGTAAATATAAAAAGCTAGCTTTAATGTTTTTTAAAAAGAAGAAATGTAAAGCTTTACGATCATCTTAATTATAAAAAGAAATGCAATCCATGAGACACGTCATATCATTAATTCCAGTTAGAATTTTAAGCTGGAATGGTTATTCTCTGTGCTGGTGTTAGTATAGGGCAGAGGAGAGGGAAGGTCAATGTTACTGCAAGTCTCAGCAACATCATTCATTATGTCCACCTGCTAACAGTTGTGGGTCAATCCGGTTACTGAAAAACCAAATTCAAATCAAAGTAGAATAACATGCAAAACCCATGCAATTCCAAATGCGATCCAAGAACGAGAGCTGGCTTAATTGGAAAAAATCAGGGAAGTTTAGTACACTGTACAGAGAAATGTAAGACAACGTGAGGACAAGAAGACATTAATGTAAGAACAGGAAGGAGTTGAGCAACCGTTTTTTTCAGAAAGCTACTCTTAGCATCAGCTTCACTGAGCAATTTTCCTGGTGCTTGCTTCTGAGATTTGGATATTATCCTATCCTACTGTGACATTTTTTTACTCTAATATTAAAGTGACAAGATCTCTAAAGACTTGTGAGAATCCTGACCTTAAAAACTGAAGCGTCTGCCAGAAATGCCAATAAAATCATTAATACTAACATTATAATCTGCATATTGGGGATAATGCCAGTCTTTTAAAACAAAGTAACACCCCAAAAGGTAGTAAGGATATTTAGACAGTTTCCTCCATGATGTCTATACATTTCCATTTTTTTGAGTTTATAAACACTAGATTGAGGATGCTCTTCCTAAAAAGCTTTAAGAACAAGATTTTGATAGTTGCTCTTGAAGCAATAATTATCTTGAAGCAATAACCAGAGATCAACTCCTGTGAAAACACCCACAGGATGAGGGCCACCCCCTCACTCATACCTAGCCCAACACCCTGCAGATAGCAGGTGCTCAGTAAATGCCACATGAATGACAGGCGGCATCTTCCAGCATTGGTGTGTCTGAGCAAATGTTTGTAGCAAGAAAACAAATGCTTATCAAAAGAGGATGTGGGCATCAGCACCCAGGACAGCTCCCAACACACAGTAGGAGTGTCACAGCACTGCCTAGCGCAGTATATCTCTTCTGAAAGTCCGCTAAACAGCTGCCACTATTTAGTTATGAGGGGCAACTCAATTTCATGAATAAAACCTTTTCTCAAGACTTGAGAAGCACAGTATGATTTTATACAAAAGTGCCTCAACTCAATTCCTCTATTTAGAAAGTGAAAAATAATTACACTTTTCCTAATTTATCTCCAAAGTGATATAATGATGATAAATGACATATCATTAAAAACTCTCTGAATGCATCCAAGAAACACAAAATATCAGGCATACAGCTCTTTAAAGTATAAATGTCTAATGTGATGTTTGGGTGGATCACATGAACATTAAGCATTTTACAAATTTTACTTTGTGTCTTATTTCTGGAACATCACAAAAACTATTGACTAAAAGTGCTCAAACCAATTAACACAACTTTTATTCTTCCTTCTTTCTCTCAAATAGCTACAGATGGAGCAGGCGTCAGCTCACAACTCAGATACCATTCACAGAGCAGGAGGAGGAATCCAAGTCGTTTCCTTTTTAACCTCTGCTACCCAGGGCCAAACCAGAAACTATCAGGCCAACAGAGGTCCTTCTGGGAGGTCTACACCAGGCTGATTAGTCAGGTTTGAGAAATCGAGGACACTGTCCCAACTAATCTGTCCTAGTACATCTAAAACAAACTTGATATGAAAACCTAGGTCTGCACAAATGATAAATTATAGGATGCACAATAAAACTGCTCAAAATGGTCTGGAGGACACTAAACGTAAGACTCACTTTACCCACTGCTCCAGGCAAACATAATCTGTGTCAAAAGGAAGATGCCTCAACTCCCCAAAACAAGAATGGCTTCTAAATTCTAAGTTCAGCTGAAGGTAGAGAGGAATAGAACAGGGAATAATCTAGCATTTTTATCCAATGGAGCTGAGCTGCAAAACTCAAAACTAGAAGATATCCAAGCCTACAGGTCATGCCGGGCCTGGTCCTGACCTAACTATATTGCACAGCTCTAGAGATTTCAGAAGAGGGCCCAGCTCAGGACATAACAGTTCCCAGCTTTGATGTGCTTGATGCTTCATTATGATTTATCTAACAAGCCAAATAAAAAGTTTCCTTCCTGCTTTCTGCATGACTGGCTTTGACTTAACAAGCCATTTGGAACAGTTTTGCAGGCATACCTCTTTACACAAAGGTATGTCAGTAAACGCTTAGTTCCATCAGCCAATTGAATGACCCACTAGATGACTGTGTCTCAAAATGTAGTGTGTGGACCCCAGCATCTGAAACCCCTGAGCACTTCTTACCAAGTGAGATTCCCAGGTTTTTCTCCAGACCCCTCAATCAGAAATTCTAGGAGTACAACCTGGGCGAGACCATTTAAACAAGCCTCCCTGACCCTCAGATGAGCCCAAGTACACAAAGCTTGAGAAGTGACCTCCTACCCCAAAAAACCCTTTGAGAACAAGGCCCTGACTCATGGTTGTACCCATGGTACTGAGCAGAACGCCTAGACCATGGCAGAAACTCAATGATGAATTGCTAACTAACCAGTTACTTGCTTTTGAGTGACTCTGGCCCTCGTTTGCCAGGGCAAGTCCTCAGCAACATGGCTAACATTCACTAGCCACCTTCTCTATGTCAACCCCTGTAACGGGAACTTTTACTACTCGATCCCACTGAACCCCACAGCCCTATGAGGAGATTCATGTATCCCCATGTTACAAGTTGTACTGAAGTTATCAGATTCTCTCAATTCCCAAGGCTCCTAAAGAAAAAGGAGACCCAAGCACTTTGACAGCTTTTTCTCTAAAGCTCTTGTGCTTTCCCACCTGTGATGGGAACTTATTCCCCCATCCCCCAGGATGGGACCGGAGGCATTGGGCCCTTTGACTTCCCATGACCACTGGATGACCCGTTTTGCCACAAAATCTCCTGGGCCCTCCTCCTCAGGGGCTCTAGCAACTGCCTGCCTTTTGAGGTAAAAGTCCTAACATTTGTACAGGGCTTTCAGACCCACTTGTTCACTTAAACTCAACTCTCTCATTTAAAAAAAAAAAAAAAAAATCCTAGTATCTGTCACTTCTGTATACTACAGAGAGTTTATTTACTCACTAGGTCAGCAAAGAGTGAGTCTTTTCCTCCCCAGATCTCCCCACTTCCTGGCAACTAGCGCCCACCACACCTGCCGTTGCTTTTCCCTAATTCTTCAGCTTGCCTCGATTTGCCACGTGACCACCCGCCTGGCCTGTGAAGAGCATGGCTAGTCAACGTCAAGGCCACAGGTAACGTCTTCTGAGGGAGAAAGACGTGTATTCCCAACAGGACAGAGCAGACGAGGCACTGCAGAGATGGGGAACGGCCCCAGGGAAGACACACAGGTAGCATGCACGTGAGTGACAGGGGACACGGCTCCAGTCAGTCATCACGCAGGCACAGTGGCAGTCAGAGCTTTCCTCAGAACTCAGCGCTTCAGTGAGAGAGGGGATGTGACTGCTGGGAGGAGACATTCAGGAAAGCTGTGGGGAAGGGAGTCCAGCAAGCTTACGGTACTCGAAACAGCTCCCGTGAGGTCAGGCTCCGAGACTCTGTGGAGGTCCTCCGGGGCGGGAGGGACCAGCGGAGGTGGTGGTGAGAAGGATGGTGGCGTCTGGCTAATGGGGGCAAAGGAGCCAGTGGTGCGGGCTGGCTGGCTGTGGTGGGGCCACCTCTGCAGATGAGGGGGAATGAAATCATCTAGAGTCGGGAAGGTCAGAGGTGAGGCTGCAGAGGCGGTCGCTGGGATTGTGGGGACGCGGCCAAGAGGCCCCAGAGGTGCTGGCGATCTGGCCGTGCCTTCTTGCCCTCTGTCAGTGTTAACCAGGTAGAGAGGGACAACTATTACCTCCGGCTGGGCTGCACTGGAGGAAGTGGCATCCTGTGGAAATAAGGGGGTCGTTATGGAAAGGGGAAGGACATGAGGAAGGAACTCCAGATTTAAACAGTTGAGAGTGGGCATGCAGTGAGGTACTCTGAGAAACATTTAATCAGTGCCCTTTCCTCAGGGTACATGAGACAGTCGGAGCTGGCCAGCTGGCCTTCTGACACTCCATGACACAGAGGGAACCCAACTCCACTTTTCATCCATCTATTTTTGAATCCTTTTAACACTGTATGAGGGAGGAAGGGAGAACAACAGAACAGGCAGGCAGGCGGTGTTTAACCCCACAACCCTGCCATAGAGCCTAAAAGCCTGAGAGTAAATACAATTCCTTTGGCACCTTGTAAAAAAACATGAACAATGCATATCTCACCATGTTATTAGTCTCCGGATTCTACGCTCCAGCATACTTACACATTTACAGAAAAGAGAGACAGACAAAGAGAGTACTGTGCTGAGATGTGCAGACAGAAGAATTCGGGATTCAAGCCACAGCAATATTAATGAGGAAAGGGAGGGTAGGACAGCCCAGTGAACAATGAGCTGCTCTCATCAGTTTTGAAAGAGACAGTGGAGAAGACACACAAAACATTCCTCATTTCTTGCCTTGGCTGGATAACTCGGCTGCAAAAGGTAAGATTCTTTGCTCTTCTGTTTTTCGGAATCAGAGGTAACCTGGGGGCCTAGTACAGGTGGTCTCACATCTGAGAAGGAAGCCCGCGTCCCCAGGGAAGGACTCTCGCCACGGTTAACGGCATCTTTACGGATGTCAAAGAACAGCTCGGGAGGGTCAGGAGGAGGAGCAGGGGGTGGTTTTCCTGTGCCGGCTGTGCAGGAGACAGGGCTGGGAGCCAGTGCTCGGGTGCCTGCAGCCTCCGAGGGAGTGCCTTTGGCAGGGTCACGTGCAACACGAGAGGAGTTTTCTGACGCCGCCAGGCAAATGTTATTGGATAAACAAGGTACATATAAGCTGCTGACCTTTTTATTCCCAACTGCCTCATGACATGGGTTAGAGCTCACATTCTTATGATAAACTCTCCGGGTGGCTGCACAGTGCTGCTGGGGTTGGGATGAAGCACTGGGAAACGTGGAGTCCCAAAGCAAGGAACCAGGGCACACCACACCTTTGGGAGCCGATCCAGCTGCCAGGAGGACAGAGACGGGCTGGGGGTGTGAGGGGTTCTGCTGGCTGGGGGTGCCGAGTGGGACGTAAGGCTTTGGTGAGCTCACATAGAGAGAATCCTTGTAGATATTGCGGATGGTGGGGGACTGCCATGCAAAGCGGTCCTTTTTAGGAAGAGGAGGGTATGGGGGAGAGAGAACCTTTAGCAATATTTTCAAGATATGTTATCAAACAGGGAAAAAAGAAAGAGGAGGGGAAATGGAAAGAAGGACGATCATTAGAAACAACAGCATTACATGATCTGAAGCCAAAACAATTCTTAGCATGTTTTCCAGCAAATCCTTGGGTTAGACTCCTCACAGTATCCACAATTCTCTCTGAGTGAAGCCAAAGACTGAATCCCACTCACCTGGAGAGGCAGGCCCGACTCTCCTTTGCATACAGGGAGGCTGAGCCCAGCCCATAGCAGGCCACATTCTACATTAATTTTGATACCAATCCTTGGCTGACTGCATCTTTATTAGATGCCCTGACCCAAGAAGGGCACCAAGTGAACTAAGCACCAGTGGGAGAAGCCCCAAAGCCCCCAACTCCCTCTTAAACTCCTTCGCTCAAGATTTACCTTCAAGCCTTTGGCTTTAAAAATTTACGTTCACTGAAACTCTTTTGAGTGCCTTTCATTCTTTTCCCTTAGGAAAAGAAGAATTGGAAGAACAGTCCTTATTTGTGTTCACAGGAGACAGATGTCTTGAGTCACTGAGATTTCGCACTCAATTCCATAAGCATAACAAATTAAAGCACCCTGAGAGGAGAATGCTAAGGATTTTTGAATACACATGTGTTCTTTTCTCAAAAGAAATAATTTGATGAAACTAATTATTAGAAAGAAGACAAGCATGAGATTAAAAGCACACAGTCTCCCATTTTTGATGCACACAAAAAAGGGGACCAGGCAGTGAAGGAGTTAATTGGCCTACCAGATTGGACTGTGCCTAGTTTATCAAAATTCAGCCCCATCCCAATCTCATCCAACCCACTACCACACAAAGGGGAATCAGTCCTAGAGGTAAATGATCAGCCTCAGACTCACAGCCTAAGCCCAAAGCTCTGGCTACAAGTCAAGAGGTACACACAGCATTCCCTTGCTTCTCAACACTGCTCCTCCTTGGGTCTCAGTGGAACAGAGGGTTGGGAAATGGGGTTTCCAGTCAGATTCTCATGTCAATGAGAGTCATCTGCCAACCTGCAGCTCAACTGAGAATTAGACTATGAGATAAGGAAACTTCATTTTGCTAGATTTTCTTCAGTGGCTCCTATTCTTAAAGATACCCCAGTTCTAGAAGAAAACCAGAACTGTCCTCCAAATTGCACAAGTGAAGCATATTAGAGTTTGGTCAACATCAAGTGAATTTTGACCAAAAATGGGGAGGGTGCAAGAATGTGGGTCTATTTGGAATTTATTTATTTATTTATTTATTTATTGTTATTTATTTATTTATTTATTTAGAGACAGAGACTTGCTCTGTCACCCAGGCCGGAGTGCAGTGGCGCAATCTCCGCCTCCCTGGTTCAAGTGATTCTCCTGCCTCAGCCTCCCAAGCAGCTAGGACTACAGGCGCACACCATAACGTCCTAATTTTTTTAATTTTTAGTAGATATGGGGCTTCACCATATTGGCCAGGCTGGTCTCAAACTCCTGACCTTGTGATCCACCCTCCTCAGCCTTCTAAAGTGCTGGGATTACAGGCGTGAGTCAATGCACCTAGTTAGTTTTATTTTATTCTTATATTTGTGGCAAACAGGTGACAAGAAGAAAGAATGTTAGAAAGAGCGAATAGGTAAAAAATATTTTAAAGTTTTATGGGTTGGGCACTGTGGCTTAAGTCTGTAATCCCAGCATTTTCGAAGACCAAGGCAGAAGGATCGCTTGAGCTCAGGAGTCTGAGATAAGCCTGGGCAATATAGCAAGACTCTGTCTCTACAAAAAAAATTTAAAAAGAAATACCCAGGCATGGTAGTACACACCTGCAGCCCCAGCCACTAAGGAGGCTGATGTGGGAGAATTGCTTGAGCCCAGAGGTCAAGGCTGCAGTGAGCTGTGATGGCACCTCTGCACTCTAGCCTAGGTGACAGAGCAAGACTGTCTCCAAAAAAAAAAAAAAAAAAGTTTTATGAATCCAGATTAGAACATCAACCCAGAAACAGTAAACAACCTATTCCTTAAACTCAGTTTTCAAGGTACAAATAAGCTCATTAGAGAAGCAGCTCATTTGGATATCACTGGGTAATTCAATGCCTAGCCTTTCACAGGGCACCTAATGACAGTGGCAGCAGATACGTACCAGACAAAAAAAACTAAAATGAACTGCTCCTCTCTAATAGTCAGCAACAGCAAAAGCTTTCAGGTGAACTCATTTGGTTTCAGTGAGCATGTTTACAGACTAAAGGATTCTAGAAACAAATCACTTGGGCTAGCACGCACCGAAGGGACTGCTAGGCACGCTGATAATGGCTATAGGGAGGTAAGCAAAAGATCATTTTGATTTGAGCTCAGATTTACTTTTACTGTCAGCTCAAATGTCCCATATGTGATTTCTTCTTGTCCAAAGATAGAAATCAGCTTCAGTGAGTTTCTAACTTATTTCAGCTATTGCCATATATGGTGCCAGGGATGCATTACATCAGCCATGAGCCTTCCCAGGGCTTTGACCCTGTAGAGAGGACACTTCCCCAGAGGATCAACAGTGCACTCAGATCCAAAGGTCTCCTGCCCTGGGGCTTCTTTTAGTCCTAAAGAATTGTTTTGTATTGTAAACACAATACAACACACAGGCAGGAACCACACAGGCAGTTTGCATTCTGCCCAGTTGACTACAAATGAAATTCTATGTATCTTTTTAGAAGGTGGGTCAGTGAAAATATAAGGCTTCTGGAATAAGCTAGTATGTTTATAGTTTATATATTTCTATCAACTACTAATTCCCTTGTATAAGCCAGTGCATACTTACAGCTCTGGCAATGACTATACAGACAAGAAGTCATGTTTCTAGTGTGTGACCTAAAGGTTCCTGAAATTTGGATGGCTGATTTTACACTGAATATGCAGGATAAAACCTCTTTATCAGCAATTTACCAGGTTCCCTTAAAGGGAATCCCAGTACAAAGAAAATTATTGGATAGTAACAGATAAGAAAACACACACTGTAAAAGACATTATAGGGTGTTCACCCTTATAAACTGAGGGCAGTGTTTCACACAGTGATCTGAACACAACAGAGATGCTCAATAAAGCTGTGTTAAATAAATGTATTTTAAAAGAAGTTGTATTTACTTCACACACTTTTAAAATTATCTTTTCAAAAAAGCTGCTTCAGAAGCCAAAAAGAATTACTGAGTTACCCTTTGAACTAAGTCACTGATAGTGGAAGAGGACATGCTTCTACATTTGGTCTGAATTAATCAGCACTGTTTCTTAATCTGCACAGAGCTGATGGCACCCATGAGATGGCTGAAAGGAAGTGTGTCTGCCACAGGCAGCACATTTATACACTGTGAAAGGGTTTAGGAATGGGAAAACCATGGCAAGTCATTTACCAGACAAGTGACCTCCCCAGTCCCTGTGTCTAATGAGAACTTCAGAAAGCGAGGCTCTTTCACTGCTCCTGGTTCTAACCAGTGACCCTAGATGCATATGGTCGTACCTAGGGAGGAAAGTCATGGCAGGTGGCAGAAAGGCTAAATGTGTTTGTTGCTAAATGTGTTTGTCGCCCAAGGCAGACAATTAAGCAACCAATTCTATGCTGGGGAAGACAGGCATCTGTAGAGAGAGAGAAAATCATCTCTGATTCGGCTTCATTTCAGCAGCAAGTGCAATTTTACATCCTCAGAAGCAGGAACCAGAGGATCATTGGAGAAGTGGCGTGGAAACTAAGAAAAACCTGCAGAATTTCTAGACTTCTTGTGAGTTCTGCAGACACCTTCACAGAAGGAAGGCACAGGGAAATAGACCACACAAGGAACACATTTCTGCAATTGTTCTTGAGCAGCACAGCTTCCTTTAAGAGAAAGGACTAGGCTAGATGTGGTGTCCTACACCTATAATCCCAACACTTTGGGAAGCCAATGTAGGAGAATCGTTTGAGGCCAGCTATTGGAGGCCTCGGTGAGCTATTAGGACACCATTGCACTTTGGCCTGGGCAACAGATAGAGACCCTGTCTTAAAAAAAGAGAGAGGCAGAAAGAGAAAGAAAGGTGGGGGAGAGGGAGGGAGGGAGGAAGGGATGGAGGGGAGGGGAGGGGTAAGGAGGGGAGAGAAAAGAGTAGTAGTCCATCCCACAGATGTGGCTCCTGTATGTAAAAACGTTCATCACAGATCACCTAAATTAAAACATGGTCTATTCCCTTCATCAAAATGACAAAGTAACAACAGAAGAGGGAAGGAAGAAAGATCAGGAAAGCCACCTAAGGGGGAAAGACTTAAGCAAAGGTATCCTTACTCCAATTTGTACAGCTGTGGGAGATTTTCTTTTGTAGGATAGAGCTGGGCTTCACTGACATTTTGCCTGTTCCTGAGCTGCTGGACTTAGGGCCTGGCCACAGCTACCTGATCTGAATCTAAGGATACTGCCGCTGGAGTTCTTACAGCCCCATCTCCAGAAAAAAACTGAAACAAACAAGATATATTCTTCTCTTGAATATTACACTCTAAATAATAAAATTTTTTTAGACATCTCAAACCTTTTTCCTATGTATCCAAGGCTAAATGAATTCCCTCTTTCATAACACTTCTACATACATAACAAACCTAGAAAGCCTCGGGGCCTATTTCCAACACCCTGGTACAGACCAGCCTCATTCCATGCCTCTGCTCCCCTTGACCTCAACTTCCCCCTAGCTTGGCCCTTGCAGAGCTTATCCGGAGTTGTCCAAAAGCTTGAAACCTATTCCATTATCCAGTTGGGAAAGCAGGAAGTCACCGGTCTAAGAGACTCAAGAACAGGTACCACTCCACCAGTCCCGACCCTCCCCTTGGGCACATGCCTACCTGGGACTTGTCGGAAGGTAGGTTGGGATGCACACTTCTGTAGCCCTTGGCAGCGAGTGAAGAGGGCTGGGCATTTCCATTGGCATCAGCATTGGAAGAAGGCCTCCACTCATCTGAGAAACAGGAAGGAAAAAACCTCTCACTCACAGGGAATAACTCCCTGGTTCCCCTCTAACTCAGGGGTCCTTGGTAGAAAGCCAGGACAGTGAAAACGCAAGAGAAACCATACCTGCTGACGAAGGCTCTGGCTCCAGCCCTACATGTGGTACAGAAAGGATAAAAGCAAGAAAAGGGGAAAAACAGAAATGGTTACATTTGCAGGAAACAAGCATGAACTGCATAGAAGGATGAAAACCCAGCACCCCGTTGTCTGACACAAAATGCCCTCAGTCACGATGGCCTGATTACCATAGGAACCCACTCGAAACCATGATGTGCTCACAGGCACTGACCTTTGAAAACACAAGGCTCACATTCACAGGGATGAAGAAACAATTGTTACTTGACATTCTTGTTTTACAGACAAAAAGGCAACAGAATTCTCTACTGGCTAGTCCCTACTCACTGACTCTCATTCCCCTTCCTGGTGCCTGCTGTGGGCTCAGAATGACCGCTCCCAACTAACAGGCCCAGGAGAGACAGAAGTGGTTAACACATTTTCCAGGGATGTTGGTGCTGGACTAAGGGGCAGAACATGACTTAAGCCAAGAGGTATCTGCTGTGATAAAGACTTTTTCTTCCTGTCTGCTTTTCTTCTTTCCATTAAATGAGCCACATAAACATTTCAAAATCTAATCACCCTTCCTGAGTATTCATCACATTATAAAGCATCCTTGTCTCCCTTCAGCCTTCCCAGCCACTATTTGATGCATTTCAGAGATACTAAACCTCTCCTAGTTTGATCCACATATGAGGCAGCAGAGTGCAGTGGTTACCAGCCCAACCGGGACGGCAGCTCAGCCTCAATTCAAATCCTGGGTCTACCACCTAAGGGTTCTATGACCCTGGGCAAGTTATAAGCCTCAGTTTGCCCATCTGAAAAATGGAGATAATGATATGCCTGTTTTATAAGTGTTGTTAATAAGAACATATATGCATGTGAAAGGCCTGCCTGGCAAAGCTCAGTAAATATTTGCTATTTATCATCATCTTCTGTATCATCTCTTGTCTCTACTCTCTATCCTTGATCTAACCTAGGGGTCCACAGACTTTTTCTATAGAGGGCCAGATAGTAAATATTTTAGGTTTTATGAGCCATATGGTCTCAGATGCAAGTACTCAGCTCTGCTTTTGTAGGACAAAGGCAGCCACAGATGATATGTAAATGAATGAGCATGGATGTGTTCCAATAAACCTTTATTTATAGACACTAAAATCTGAATTTCATATAATTTTCATGTGGCATACAATACCATTCTTCTTTTGATTTTTCTTTAAACCATTAAAAAATGTAAAAGCCATTCTTAGCACGAGGGCTGTACAAAAAAAGGCACAGGCCAGATTTCACTCACAGCCTCGGTTTGCCAATCCCTAACCTGGCCAAGCCTTAACCCATTCTCCCCGGCTGCCTCCTCTTGCCTCACCATGTAGAGAAAGAGGGACTAATACTGCAGTCTCATTGCCGAAGCCTCCAGTTCAGTGTGGGTTCCTCCAGGGCTGGACGTGGGCTTTCCAGATGCCAAGTTGAGATTTACAGACATTTACTCAACATTTCTCTAAGTGCCACTGTGAGTCACTGCTACACCCTTGTAGTTTGAGTTCAGTGTACACAACAACTCTGTGAAGTAGGTAATCACTGTCCTTCATGGATGTGGAAACAGATAGGCCACCTGACTTGCCCAAAGTCACACAGCCAGGAAGTGACAATGCAGTCAGCCCAAGTCTCCAGAATCCAAACATATCACCCCCGCCAGCCACCAGCCTCACTGTCAGCCATGAAATGGATGCTATGCTTCAGAGAGTTGATGGGAGGTAAAAAGAAAAAGCAAGGCAGGATAAAGATTCTGAGTGATGTTAAATTTCACTTTCTCATTTATAAAATATAATCCTTACCCCGTACTCCTCACAGGGAGTATGATTCTCTGATTCTCTCCAATTGAAGAACTGGAGAATCTTTAAGAATAAAAGATCAAGTACATGAAAGTGCCTCCGAGTACACCACACTCCCTGTTGCATCCAACCAGATCCCTGGCCCAGAGCTCCCCTCACACCTGGCAGGCCATTAAACACCAGGTGACATGCTCTAACAAATGGTCCACTGTCCTTCCTCACAGCTGTGACTTCTGTTCCACCTTCTAAGTTGCTATTTCTAGTCTACCTTTGTCAAATAAGTCTATCAAATTTATTAGATTTGTGCATATATGAAACATCAACAGGTTCTGAGTGCAGGGCTATCTAATGAAGGATGTAAACTTTGTACATGGAATTGGGAACACATTATTTTGCCCACTTTCTGGTTCTCAGTTGGGTTGGTTCTATTCAAGTGACACTAGCAAACAGCGATGTAATGGAAAGCTGAGATGTGAACTGTTCTTCCAAACCTCCAGGTATCATGAAGGGACCATCATTGTGACATCAGATTGCCTAGTTTCAGCCCTGAGTCTCTATCTTGCTAACTGTACCTACTGCAGCAAGTGACCTGGCCGCACCTGTGAAATGGAGTTAATGTCTACCTCTTTGAATCATAAGGACTAAATGAAAGTATCTGGCATAAAGCATGTGCTTTGCAAAATCAGAATTCAAAGCATAAGGGGAAAAAACCCATAGACAAAAATGAGCATTGTTGATCTCTGCCATGTGATAAATAGCTTTAAGAACACAAGATCCTTAAGGATAGATAGATCTCATTCCAAGTTTTTAAAACTATTCTCCTTACCCTACCCTAAAAAGGCAGTTCCCAGGACCTCTTAAATGATCCTCTCTTTTTTGTTAAAGGACAGCTGTATTTCTGACATCTTATCATCCTTCATCTATTACCTCATCTTCTGAACCTGGAAGGTTGGTAGCAGCCTGGGGCCATTTGTGCCTGCATGCAGCAGTATGAAATTTTGCACACATAATCATCCATTATTAACTCCTGATTGAATAGACTGTCAAAATGCTTCTTTCAATAAATGTTACCTTAGAGCTCCCAAGGTTGGGAGAATGCCTTGGAAAGTTGGATCCTAGAGAGCTTTTGCAGTCCTGAGAGACCTACCATTTCCGCAAGAAGCATAATTTACTTGGCCTTATCTTTTCCTCCAGCTGTTTTTTATTTGCAATCTTTTCTGGCCTGTGGCTGTAGCCTCCTGATATTTTATTTTATCTCAATCTATGCTCATTTCATTTTGACCTATTCTAAAGTCTTTTGCTGATCAGTTCTTCTTGGGATCTTAGGATAATTTTCATTGAGTTATCTTGATGTGTTCTCATGAGAGTATTCAAGAGGTAGATGAGAGGTGTTATAGTAAGTCTAAGGGTGTTCCAAATCTTATTTGTGTTTATTTTGTATTCATGCTGTAGAGAATTTAACTTTATCCAACAAGAGGTCTGGCCTTTGCCCTCAGGTTCTGGGATGTAATCCCTGGGCTCTTCGAAAGTCATGCCTGATAGGAGTGACTTTGTTTATCTGGGGCTTTGAGTCCACCAGCTATGTGACTTGGGATGGGGGCTTTGGGCCAGCAGGACCTGAACGGATTAGGAAGTTGGCCTGGAGACTGAGATGCATATGTAACGGAGCCACAGTAAAAACCCTGAACACAAAGGTTTGGGCACATTTCCTGGTTGACAATGCTCTGAGAACACTGTCACACATCACTGCTGGGAAATAACATGTCCTGCCTCCATGCAGAGAGGGCGACAGAAACTCCGCATTTGGTACCTCGCCCAGACTCCAACCTGTGTACATCTTCTCTGTATCCTTTCCCTGTAATAAACCATAACGCTGAGTGTAGCTTTCAGTAAGTTACGTGAGTTCCTCTAGCATTTTACCAAACCTGAGAGTGGATTTGGGAATCCCCTGAACTTGCACTTAGTGTCAGAAGGAAGGGTGAACTCTTGTGAGGACTCTTCCCTCCAACTTAGCTGACCCTAATTCTCACACATGTACTCATCAAAAAGACTCTCATTTAATGAAAGTATGGGGTACCTTTAACTGCTTCAATGTTAACCTTCTTATGGTACCTTTTTGCTACTGCCATTTTTCGAGAACAAATGTGAGAGTCAAACCAGAGGAAATAATTTGACTGCAGGTCTAAGAATCTTTACGTCCAAAGCTAACTTTGCACTCAAGAATCAGGCAATAAGGACTGGAGCCGACTGGTACAGAATTAACAAAATATAAGGGCTTAAGTGACCTTGGCATCTGAGTCAGAACACAGGAATTGATGTATCAAGCCACAAGATCTTCAGATTATACCAGACAAGAAGCTTCGTATCACACCCACCACCAGCTCAGACTCCCTGTCTGGAGTGAAAATATCCTGACCTGGGACATGACCAAGTCACTCTTGAACCAACATGGCCAATGCTCAGACCTGGTGTGGCAATGAGGTGAGCAGGCAGGGATAAGGTGATGAGGCTTCTTGGAGGGGAAGGAAGTCAGTACTAAGATTACTCCCATTCCTTTCAGATTGTTCTGATCCAAAAACCAAGGTCCACAATCAGAGATGAGGCAGCTGATCAGGAAGCTGTGGTCAGGGATCTTGAGTTAAGCTACCACTTGAATGGAGGAGTCTGGAGAATGAGTGTTAACTGCGCAGTTTCAAGGGCTCTATCTGTCACTCCACCCCCGAGAATGTCTCCATTCTGTGAAAGTTCATTTGGATGCAGATGGCTTCCAAATCCATGCACTGGACTCCAAATTTCCAAATTCCCATTAGAAACATTCTCCTAGAAGTCCTTCCCTTGACAAGAAACTCAACATGTCAAAAAATGGAATTCAACATTCTTTTCATCACTCTTCACAAATCCCCCTCATCTCCATGAGTGCCACAATTACTCTTCTAGCCAACAAGGGAAGACATCTCCTGGAGTCTTGCCTCTCTGTGGTCCTTAAATACACCACGAGGAGCCCCGGTCATTTCATTCTCCAAAAGACACTTTTACCCTCAGCCTCTTCTCTTCATTCCCTTTGCCACCATGCTAGGATCAGGCCCTCATGGCTTCAAACTGAAATTATATTTAACAAGCCTCTTGACCTGCAGGAACTGGAATGGTTATCCTTAAAGGGCACTTACTTTGGGCCTGTGCTAAATGCTTGGCACGAAAGAGCTCATTTAACCACCCAAAGTGCTAGAATTATAGCTCACACCTGTAATCCCAGCACTTTGGGAGGCAGAGGCAGGTGGATTATGAGGTCATGAGGTCAAGAGTTCGAGACCAACCTGACCAACACAGTGAAATTCTGTCCCTACTAAAAATACAAAAGAAAAAAAAAAATTAGCTGGACATGGTGGCAGGCACCTGTAGTCCCAGTCCCAGCTACTTGGGAGGCTGAGGCAGGAGAATTGCTTCAACTTGGAAGGCAGAGGTTGCTGAGAGCCAAGATCACACCACTGCCCTCCAGCCTGGGTGACAGAGTGAGACTCTGTCAAAGAAAAGAAAGAGAGAAAGAAAGAGAGAAGGAAGGAAGGAAGGAAGGAAGGAAGGAAGGAAGGAAAGGGCAAGCTCATTTAATCTCAACAAACTCTATTACAGTCACCTCCAATTTACAGATAAGGCAACTGAAGCCCTGTAAAGTAATTTGTCCATGTCATAAAGACAGTAAATGGCAGAGCTCAGCCTCAATAGAGAACTATGTGATACACAAGAACTATAAATAGGGGCACCTCTGAAATGCAGACATCAGGGAGCCATGTAGGGACTGGAGCTTCCAGTCTAGGCAAACAGTCAGCAACCTGGTCACCTATAGGCATTGAAGAAGGTGGCAAATGAGGAGCAAGTCAGAGAGAAAGCAGACAGAGCAGCTAGGGGACAAAGGCTGTCCCTAGAGAGAAGGGAGGGAGCCAGATGCCATCTAACATTAGCTGTCCACAAAGGCATTGAGAGTAGGAAGCAATCCTTGGCAAGAGCCATCCACTGCCTCACCCTTGGGCTCCCCGTCCAGACTAGGCATGGCTGTCTGCAAATACTGCTGAAAACTGTTTTTATGAAACCAGGGAAGGCCCAGGAGCTCCCAGGCCCCAGGATAGGACAATAGACTATGGTATGGGCCAGCAAGTTGTCATCTGGAGGTTCACATGGACACTGCCAGAGTCAAAAGCCAGCAGGATGCTAGCCAATGGGTAGCATGGTAAGGGGACAAGATTCCCATTCCTCAACTGTCTACACTCACATCCTCACTTCTTGTTTTTCTTTTTGAAATAGCATCTTGCTCTGTCTTCCAGGCTGGAGTGCAGTGGCATGATCTTACTTCAAGCGATTCTCCTGCCTCAGCCTCCCGAGTAGCTGTGATTACAGGTGTGCATCACCATGCTTCGCTGATTTTTGTATTTTTAGTAGAGACATGGTTTCATCATGTTGGCCAGGCTGGTGTAGAAACTCTGGCCTCAAGTGATCCGCCCACCTCAGCCTCCCAAAGTGCTGGGATTATAGGCATGAGCCACCATGCCCAGCGCACTCACATCCTCTTTTAAGCCCACTCCCCAGCGTTAACTCATTCTAGCCTGCTTTGTACCCTTAATGAGCATGTGGGTTTTTTTCTGTTTCCTCTTCTCAAATCCAGCTTGTTCCTTTTCATCCAAACTGCCCTCCTGTACCGTCTTAAATTTATCCCCAGTCAAAGGGATTCCATGTGTGTCAGGCTAATTTCCAAACTTCCTAAGGTCAAGAGCATTCTGGACCTAGAAAGGCTTGGAAAGCATCTGACCCAAGACCCTCATACTTGATATGAGCTCAAAGTCACTAGGACTTACCCACAGCCGAAAAGCAAGGTGGCTGACTGCAAGTCCACACCTGACTCATGCTGCAATAACATACTGCCTTTTGCCCTCACCTAATGCACCTAGAATTGCTCTATTTTCCTCCTTTCTCATCACAATCCCAAGTAACTTGCTTAGCACCTGGCACACAGATAATGCTGAATGAATGTAAGCTCATTTGGATTTGATGATCTCGATTCACAAAGATGAACTTACTGTAAGGTGTGAATGACTAATAGCTATCCCTTAATTCTTCCGAGTATAGTATTTGCATTTTAAAATAATGTGGTTATGGTTTGGTGAAACAGATTTGGTGAAGTTTCTTTTCACCTAATTAGTTGGTAGAAATTTGTAAGACACAAACATATTTTGGGATAAGACAGTGTTTCCAACAGTGCCTCAAATCCATACACAGGGCAGGGCATGGTGGTTCACACCTGTAATCCCAGCACTTTGCAAGGCCGAGACAGGTGAATCACTTGAGCCTGTGAGTTCAAGAACAGCCTGGGGAACATGGCAAAACTCTGTCTCTACAAAAAAATACAAAAACTAGCTAAGTGTGGTGGCATGCACCTCAGTACTTGGGAGGCTGAGGTGGGAGAACAGATTGAGCCCAGGAGGTCAAAGCTGCAGCGAGCCATGATTGCATCACTGTACCCCAGCCTGGGCAACAGAGTGAGATCGTGTCAAAAAATAAAAAAAATTTTTTTAAATCCACATGGTACTGGGAAGCACTGGTACAGGCGTGTACTTGGTGGACCTATGTGTTCTATGTCAATGCCACACTGTAACCACTAGAGGGAGCTCCAGGCTCCCTCTCCATTTGCAATCAGAGGCTAGGACATGCGGTTTGTAAGGTCATTCGCGCCAAGGGACTGCACATAAGGCCTTTCTCTTTGCATCATCCCTTAGGGACTCTCTCCTTTTCTCCAGACGCTCTCTAGCTTGGGAGCTGGGTCTTCCTAGTTAGGCTTGGAGAGGCTGGATGAAGTTAGCCCTGGTATAAAACAACTTTGCCTTCTCTCCTCACCCCTACCTTTCTGAGAGCAGAAAAGCAAATTGCAGCAAGTCAGAAGTCAGGGCTGGGCTCAGGAATACAGGACCAAGAAGCTACTCTGTCCACTTTTAAGGTTGTGGGCTGCTCGAGCCTCCCTCAGCCTACGGATGAAGAAGCCCTCACAGGGACCAACATCACTAGAAAGGGGTTTGTACTCAAACCCTAGCCTGGCCTCATCCCGCAGTATGTGTCCCAACACCTGTTATGGGTGGCTGGGCAGGAAGAAAGTCAGTTTCCAGGATGCTAGGTCTGGCCATTTCCATCCTACATATCATGTCTATCTTATCACAACACACCACTCCCGCTGCACTAGAGGGGTCTGCGCACCCTACTGTCCCAAGGGAGTGGTCCTTCCCTCCATTCAACTGCTCCCTCCATTTCCTTCAAGAAAGTAAGCTCCCACCCCCTACAGCAGCAGCTCTCAGATACGGTCCTTATACTAGCAACATCAGCACAACCTAAGAACTTATCAGATATGCAAAACTTCAGACCCTACCTCAGACCTGCAAGTGGGAATCCTACATTTGAAAACTCTGGACTGGGGCCCAGCAACCTATCTTTTTACTCCAAGTGATTCTGATGCAGCTGAAGTGTGAAAGCCACTGCCCTACAGAGGGGAGAGGCGTTGTCTCACCCTAAACTAACTGTGCCTGATCTCAAAGTCAGCATTTGTCAACTCCCAGAATACCTGGACCATGGAAAGTCATCTCTGGCGAAGCCAAAATAATCGGACCATAATCAAATAGCAGGTAACATCTAACAGTCTAGTCCAGATGTCCCCAAACTATTGCCTGCGGGCCGCATGTGGCCCCCTGAGGCCATTTATCTGGCCCCCCATGCCGCACTTCAGGAAGGGGCACCTCTTTCATTGGTGGTCAGTGAGAGGAGCACAGTATGAGGCGTCCCTCCAATGGTCTGAGGGACAGTGAACTGGCCCCCTGTGTAAAAAGTTTGGGGACACCTGATCTAGTCCATACCACCAGGCATATACACAGTGCTTCATACACTTCTTTCTCAAAATGATCCTACGAGGCAGATGCAGTTACCAACCCCATTCTACAGTTCATTAGGGTTGGCAGGGTGTACACAGAGATCTATTAGAATCCCAGTTCTTTTTTCTTTTTTTTTTTTCTTTTTTTTTTGAGATGGAGTCTCTGTTACCAGGCTGGAGTGCAATGGCGCAATCTCGGCTCACTGCAACCTCCACCTCCTGGGTTCAAGCGATTCTTCTGCCTCAGCCTCCCAAGTAGCTGGAAATACAGACACACGCCACCACACTCAGCTAATTTTTGTATTTTTACTAGAGATGGGGTTTCACCATGTTGGCCAGGCTGGTCTTGAACCCCTGAGTTCAGACAATCTGCCAGCCTCGGCCTCCAAAAGTGCTGGGATTACAGGCATGAACCACTGAGCCTGGCCCTGAAGTCCCAGTTCTAAACCTGAATACCTCAGGTTTCTCAAGTGATGAATTAAGGTGGGGAGATGGGCTTCATGTGGTTTCTTCAATCTCCCTTTGCTCCTAGTTTACACTGGGCCTTGAAACTACTTCTCCTGATCCTGCTCCCGCAGCTGGCTGGTGGCCATCCCAGGCCTGAGCCCTGCCCACCTCTGCTTTCCCAGGAACAAGCAAGGTCATCTACACTTCTCAGTCTCCCCTAGCCACAGCTCCAGCCCAGCCCTGCCTGGACAGGCCACAGCGAACCTCTAGGATTCAGGGATGAGCTCTGAGAAGCCCAACCTCTAGCCCATTTCACCGTTTACCCCCCATGCCCTAAGTCATTTCCGTCTGCAGAGCACTGGCTCTTGCCACAGGATGACCTGCTCAGTCAAAGCTACCATAAAGTGGTAGTCATTTCTGTGCCTTCATCTGCAGCACGTGACTGTTAGTTAGGGGTTTTGACCACTATCCATCAAAAGGAGCTGACTATCCCAGGGAACCCTGAGAGAACCAGGAGGCATCTGATGAACTCACACCCTCCCGAGCAAAAACACCAGAGCATCTGCCCGCCCTTCCCATGTGGCTTTGAACATCTCCCCCAGCCTCAGCGCACCTGGTTTGCTTTCGTGTTGCAGGGGTTTCCTGAGGACTCACAGGGCTACTGCTTGGTGTTTCCCTATAGGAAGACGAGGCCCGGAGAGTCACTGCTCCCTTTCCAGTGCAGATTTTCGTAGGATCCATGTCTGAAAAGAAAAGGTCCAAAAGAGAAAACTGAATCCAAGATTCCTGAAAGATTAAAGGACAGTTGGTTAGCAAATTGTTACAGCTAGGCAATGAGATGAACCTGGTTACAGCCACGCAAAGTCTTCAAACACTTGTGGCCAATGGATATTAATCTGTGAGTGGTGGAGAGGGGCAAGTTTTCAGAGGTTTACTGTGCATCATGAAGTTAGGGGAACATGTCGGCAATGGTGAGTTCAGAGTAAATGGATGAGTTACAATATCAGCTGAAAACATTTCAAAATAAAAGCAGGTTTATGCCTTTGATTAAATGACATTTGGGTTGGTGAGCAGACTTCTGACCAGTTAGTAAGGCACAGTTCAAGAAAGTTTATGAAAGATGTCTCAAGCTTCCAGACCATCCTTCTCATTGAAAACCAGGTTGGTGATGTAGGGAAGTGGGGGCAGGGGTGGTGTTCTATGGAGAACAACTACTCCTTGCAGTTTTCCAATGGGAAAAGGAAAAGCAAATCTCCTTGGATCAGCAAGTCAAGACTCCCAAATTGCTGAGACAGAAGGATAAGCTGCCTGGCGAGAAAGCTCATGAGTAACAGCCTCACTTTCCAAATGTAACAAAGAAAACTCACAGCAACAAAAATGACCCAAAAGGCTAAATCCTTCAATGAGCAGTGTCCACTGAGCCTCAGCTGTCTTCCCAGGATCCTGGCATCTCCTACAGTTTCACTAGGACCTAATAACAGGCCTGGGTCAACTTTGAAAGTTTCCTTGAGAAAGATTTCAAAATACGCTTCAAAAGGTCTGAATGCCATCCTGCAGAAAATCACTCACAGGCAGGCAGGGAACCAGGGCACACCACACAGTTCCGGGAGGCACACACTCCAGTGTTTCTTTATGCGCAGCTGAGCTATGCAGAACACCACAGTTTTGTTTTGTTTTCTGACTGCTCACAGCCTAGATCCCTGACCCAAAATTGTCACAATTAGGATTACAGGTTGACATTCAAGGTGTGTGTTTGGGTATGTGAGTTCAGACGTCCAACTCACCCCCATTCCCGTCCAAGGGCAGGAAGAAGCAAAGCCTCTTCTCTCCTTGCTTTCCATGTCGGCAGCCCCCTTCCAACAACTCAGGGAGAATGATCATTAGCATTAGAGAAGAGAACAGACCTGCCTTGTCAGCACCTCTTGTATTGAACGCAATGCATAAAACCCACAACGTGTGGTGAGGCAAGCATCAGCCTTGGAGAGCATCTGACCTATCCAACTCTATCAAAAGGCTAAGTGACTGATGTCACCAAACTAGTGGGAAAACTGGTTCCTGGTCACTTCAAAAGGATGAAGGGCAACTGACGGGTGCAGCCCATCCATAGGTTCCTAAACACACAGCCCAGTTACTTCTGAAAGCGCCTTTGGATAAAGTACTACATAGGCCTCATATGTCCCACTTTGTACAAAACTGACATCTGAGCTGTAACTTCCCCAACCCCTGGAGGGGAGAGGCAGGAAGCGACTGCAGGAAATCGGGGAAGGCACAGGGGATGCTCTGGGATGGCCCAGTGAGCATCACAGAGGCAAGTCTAGGTTTGACACCTAAGGCAGCTGCTTCAAATTCAGCCCAGTTCAGAGGTTCTCTGTGAGACCGGGTTAATTCTCAAGGAGACTGCAGTTTCTGCTAAAGTACTTGGAGTTGGAAACCTCTAGGGAGAGCCTAGGATGTCCATGCACCTCAGCCCCATCCCAAAGTGAAAGCTGAGGCTCTCGACTGACCCTCCTCCTAAAGGAAAGAGGGGCAAGGCCTCTGTCCTAAGTTCTTCCCCACACTCACTGGCTCCCAGAAAAACACACACAGACATTCACGTACACACACAGAAGAAAAAAGGAAACAAGCTGAGGAAGTGAAACGGAATGCCTCCTAAACATGCAAGGATTCAGCTCAAAGCGTGTGTTAGAAGAAAAGAAGAAAGGAAAACCATGCCATGATCCGCTCACAATTAAAGAAAATCAACCGACCCAAGGAGATACCTGGAGGGAGAACTAGGCCTGAGGCGTTTCTCACTGTCTTCACAGGAATGATTTTAACAGCAGAAATAGAGCGTGCACGTAAAGGGTAGGCAGTTGCTGAAAACACAAAAGGGTAAATGGTGCATCCAGAAGAACATTTGGGAAACACTCAGGCAGTTGAGGAACTGGGCAGGGACAATAGGAGGAAGTCGCCCACACAACAAGAACAATACAAAGGGCAGTAGATGCAGTAATTAAAAATAACCTGCTTTCTCTCTTTAGAGTTCTAGGCCAAGATGACAGACCCCTCCCCGCCAGTAATCACCCAAATACAGCTGGTCAGTGTTGATCAGTGGCTCCTGCCACACCAGGAGCTTGCCAAGGCTCTGGACAAAGATTTACAGAGGCACAGATGGCCTGGCAAACAGAGGAAGAGGAGAGCACTCAGGGTCCACAGGGCCTCTTGGGAGAAGGCTGGGGAGTGGGCTTCAAGGAGGAGGGCTGTGGCCCGTGGGCTCCAGATGAGTGAAGGAACAAAGGAATAAGATCATGAGCTGCTTGGTCCCTTCAGCCATCAGAGCTACTTCCCCCACAGCAAAGCTTCTGGGGTCTTGTTCCTGCTCTGACAATCACAGCCCTCTGGACCCAAGCAAATCAGAACCCCCATCTGTTGGACAGCAGATGGCCTTGCTTAAACCCACCCTTTCCTGGTCAGGAGGTGCCAAGTGTCCAAGAGCATATGTAGTCCTTGGGCAGCACCCAAGTGTACAGCCCAGGACCTCAATGCCCAGCTGAGCTAAGGCAGAGTAGGGCTGCCTGCCCAGGATGCAGTGAAGGCCACCGCTCAAATGTCCTGGGTGCCCACACTTATCTATCTGCAGGGTCTCTGGGCTCCCTGCCTGCCCAGATTCTGTAATCTCATGATAGGCACATCCCTAACTCTTCTCACAATGAGCCTGTTGTGAGGCCTCCCCTCGTACTCTCTCTTAAGGGCAGCACATAAAGAGGGCTGGGAGTTCTGTGCAAGGGTGCCAAAGTCAATTGTGGCCACAGATCTATAGAATCACAGCAGGTAGGGCTGCCTGGGACCAAGATCATCACTGCAGAGTCAGCATCGTCCTGGTAAGCCTGTCAAGGCAACGGAAGGGAGGCCTGTCGGCCAGGGGCAGTGCACCTTCTAGTCCGTCCTGCTGCCAGCTGACCTCGTAAGGTATGGGGCAGTCACACGGCACCTGGCCATCAAGGACTAGGTTGCGAATGACACTGCTGCATGTATTAAAGACAAATGTGCTCTTACAGCATCCTTCTGTCTGCTCCACCTGGGAGGTGGGCTTGGGGGAGACTTTTGTAACCATTTTCAGAGGGAGCAAGAGGCTCAGCAAACTGCTCAGGCTCATTCAGTTCTCAGACAGAGAGGCTAAGACTGGAACTCAGCTCTCCCAGCTCCAGTTCAGTTCCTCAGGCCACTCTGATGCCCTTCAGATGACTTCTGCCTGCTTGTTTCTGGACAAAGGTGAGTCTCACCAAGGAGAGAATGGGGCCCACTCCACATGCCACCCTCCTCCACATGCCTTAAGTCTCTTGTATAAATGAGTTCACATGGATGGGGTTGATGACCCCACAGGTTTTAAACACACAGAGCCCCACCCCTTCCCATGCTCCTCACTGGATGCTAAACACATGCCTGCAGCCACTCCACAGCACTGCCCCTCAAAGTTCTCTAAGGACAACTTGGTAGAGACTGTACAGGACTCCACACCAGGGGTGCAGAAGGGAGGCCAGACAGGGAGGCAAGAACAGGAGCGTGGCAGGTCCCCTCCTGCCACCAAGGAACCCACCCCCATACCACCTGGGCCCTGTACCCCAACCCCTCCTAGTCTCTCGGCATACCCTCTACAGCTGCTTCCTCTTAGTTCACATTTTGCCTTGTCTTAAAAAGAACACTTTGCTGATCCAGATGGAAATTACAAAGGTCAAAAGGCCAAATTGTTTGAAATTATTCTTTGAGAAATGCATCTTGACTTAAATGCCCAATGCCAGGATTCTCACCCTTCCTCTTGTATACCGTAAGATATAGTTGGCTGAGTGGTCATTCCAATTCTGAATTTGAGGCAGAAATAAATACAGCAGATCATAAAATTCCCTCATCTGGTAGATAAGGGAACCCACATCCACAAAGATAAAGGATCTCTCAAGTGTCCTGTTCATGAGCGGCAGAGCTGAGACTTGAACCCATGCCTTGTCACTCCAGCTGGAGTGTCCATCACACCACACAGTAAAAGTGGCACCATGGGACCTGTCGCCAGGCTATCTGTGCAGCCACACTGAGGTCAGGATGAAAGTCTCCAGGCCAAGGAGTACCTCAAAGTTCATCACATCCATCATTCATTTCACATTTAAATCTTTTCTCCTAAAATTTTAAAAAACTGAAACTATGAGAGGATGTGCATAAAATTAATGCCAATGAAATAATTTATTTTAATGATTTAGGCTCTTGCCTTAGGGTCAGGACTGTGAACACATCACTGTTTATCATGTATAGGTGAAGGTGAAAGGCTGAGCAATGGTATTTCAGGCTGATAAATGCCATCTGAACCAGACATGAAGCATGCCTTGGTCCATGTATCTGATCAGTTATTCACAGCAACCTTGTGAGCTAGGGAAAGTTTTTAATACCTCACAGTGGGAAAATGGCAGTCTCAGACTCCTGAAATACAAGAACAGGTTCCGAGTCTCAGAAAATCAGTGTGGGGAACAGGTCTCCAGTTTATGTCTTGGTTAGACCAGTGATGTTCACACCAAGCAGATGGGATGGCCCCAGCCTGCAATAGTCCACAACTTTAGAAATGCTTTGCAGTACAGGCCGGGCATGGTGGCTCATGCCTGTAATCCCAGCACTTTGGGAGGCCAAGGCAGGTGGATCACCAAGTCAGGAGTTCAAGACCAGCCTGGCCAAGATGGTAAAACCGTGTATCTACTAAAAATACAAAAATTAGCCGGGCATGGTGGCAGGTGCCTGTAATCCCAGCTACTTGAGAGGCTGAGGCCGGAGAATTGCTTGACCCAGGAGGCAGAGGTGGCAGTGAGCCAGGATTGTGCCACTGCACTCCAGCCTGGGAGACAAAGCAAAACCCCGTCTCAAAAAAAAAAGAAATACTTTCCAGTACTGATCCAGACGTCTCCCTAAGAACCTTACCTTTGTCTTGCCCATTACTGCTGGGTGCCAAGCCATTCACCACAGCTTTCGAACCACCATCACATTCTGCAAGAAAGAAAGAGAGCATGAGGTTTGTGAGTATGCTGCCCCAGCGCTTACTGAGTCCTACATGGCACCAGGTGCTGGGGTTGGAGTCAGGAGGAAGCAGAGGGGTCCTGCCCTGTCAGATACTTTCAGACCTCTAGGCCCTGGTTCCTATGAAACCCTCTGCCAAGAATGTTTCCTCCTCCCTTCTTACCTGATGGAAATTCCATGCACCCTTGAGGCTCTCCTCAGATTTCATGTCTTCTGTGTTGGCTGAGAGTTTCCTGAGTTCTGCTCAGTTACAGAAACTGAGGCCTTCCCTGTTCACCTGCAACCTAAGCCCCACCCAAGTCCCCATCCCAAAATAGATGGAGGCAGGCCAAGAAAGGCAGGCGGGCAGGCCATGTCACCCTGGGAGATGTGTGTTGGAGGAAACCCCTTCAAGCCCAGAGTTAACCACGCTACAAACATAATCATATTTGGGTTTTTAAACACTGACTTGCCTAGATCTGAGGATCCATGCTTATCATTCCATGATTAGCATCTCATTTTATCCTTAAGACTCAGACATCGAGAACTAGGATTTAGGAATGCCTATTTTATAGATAAGAAAATTGAGGCAGAGAAGATTCCAGGCCTGCCCAAAATCACTAGGCTGAAATCTGAACTTTGGTCTGCCCATATCACAGCTCATCTTCTTACTACCCAAATGGGATAAACATTTGGGTTTCCTGATGTACACATATAGATATATATATTCTATATCTCTAAATGCTGGGACTGAAGCTTAGTCTAACACCCCTGTAATTCATTAGGCTGAGACTCAACCTAAGCTCTTAACAATCAGCATCCCCAAAGGGTGGATGCCTGCTGGACACCACACCGACAGGTTGGTCTGGATGCTGCCTGTGGCCAGACACGAGCTGGATCACTGCCCCACCTGGTGCCTCGATGCCCTCATGCTGGCCCCCAGACTGTGTCCTGTTAATTCCCCACATCCACCTACAGGTGAAGGCCAATTCTCCCAGATATCTCCCTTGAGCTAGATGTGTGGAAGGAGGGTGCTGGTGAGAAGGCCAGAAATCCACGTACCTGCTCTAGTTCCTTCTGTGACTGTGGCCTTGCTCCAGGCCTCCCCAGGCTAGTGTGGTGCAGCCTCTGAGCTACCAGCAGGCCCAGCCCCATGTTCTTCCTTTCTTTTAATTAAATGTAACAACCAAACTTGAAGAAATTTTAGAAAAGTAAACTCCATCTCCTGAAACTCAAACCTCTGCAGCACAATGTTGGTGTCCAACTTCCTGAGTTTGATTCAACAACACTACATACTAGCTGAGTGATCCCAGCCATATTATTAACCCCTCAGGGCCTCAGTTTTTCCATTTGTGTAATGAGGGTGGCAAACTGCGCCCCGCCTGTGAGGGTTTTCCAGGAGAATGTAACAAGATCATACAGGTGAAGAACTTCTCTTGGTGACTGCCAGCCCTGTACAAACTTGGGATAAAGAGAATCCACCATTTTTACACTGCTCTTTCCATCGGTGATTAAAACAAATATTTTCCATGTAGCTACTTTTCTCTTAATGACTATTTTAATAGCGGCATAATATTCCATCAAGTAAATACACATAACGTACTTATTCATACCTCCCCACCACCACTCCCTGCTTCATGTGGGTGATGTTTTTGTTTCCTTGGAATTAAGACAGAAATTCCCAAGAGTGGGATCATCAGGTCGAAGGCTCCAGAATTTCTGAACTCTTCCTAGGCAATGCCTCCTTCCAGCCGCCGACCTGAGAGAGCAATTCTGGGGAGAAGTCTCCCGGGCTTTTCCACACCCTTCTTCCAGGTCCCTCCCTTCCTCCTTCTCTGGCCCTTAATGCCAGGAATGGTAATGCAAAGTTAGGCCAGTTCCACCACCAGAAGAGAAAGTAGCTTTAGGCTACAGAGAAAAAATTAAAAGCAAAATAAAGCAAAACACCATGGCCTGTTTTAAATGACAATAAAAGCAAAAAGCCAAGGAGACAACACAAAACCAGTTATGAAGCAGGAGCTACTGGCAGAACCAAGCCCGCTGGAAGGGGAAAAGGTGCACAGCCTCTTCGCACACAGCAAAAACACTCAAGGAATTGCTGAGAAGCCAAGTCCCTGGCTTTGCAGGGAGGAACTCTGAGCTTGTAACGGTAGGAATCCAAAGATGAAGCGTTCGCCATTCCTTGGACATGAAGTTCAGCCCTTGAAAAGCACTGCCTAAGGCCGGGCACAGTGCCTCACATCTGCAGGTGGATCACCTGAGGTCAGGAGTTTGAGACCAGCCTTGCCAACATGGTAAAACCCTGTCTCTACTAAAAATACATAAAAGAAAAATTAGCTGGATGTAGTGGCACATGCCTGTAATCTCAGCTACTCAGGAGACTGAGGCAGGAGAATCACTTGAACCCAGGAGGCAAAGACTGCAGTGAGCCAAGACCACGCCACTACACTCCAGCCTGGGTGACAGAGCAAGACTCCATCTCTAAATAAATAAATAAATATATATATAAATAAATAAATAGCATCACCTCACTTAATCCTCACTAAATCCCAATGAACTGGTGCTTTTTATTATGTCCATTTTTGCAGAGGAAAATGCACAGAAGGGTCCATCACAGGCCCAAGGCTATGCCAGTAAACAAGGAGGTCAGGGTGTGAGCCTGAGCTATTCCATCCCAGAGCCTTCCTAGGTCTTAACTACAAATTGTCCTACTCAGAACTTAGCAAATAAATGGAAAAGGGTGATTTTTAATCCACAGAGGTCACTGACAACACTCAGAAAATACTGCAGGACTGAGAGACCCTGAATAAGATATCGACAGGGTCATCCTCCCACCCCACAGCCTGCCCCACCTATAGGTCTCAGGAGGCTCCAGGGCATGTTCAGTAGCCTAGGTGGGCCTTAATCTCCAGATGGAAACTCCTCTGCTCCAATTTTGGGCTGGAAAGCTGACAGCTCTTGGCTGCATGATGAGCAGGGATCTGTTCCCCTCTCTGTCTTCCCTAACCCATGTTTTCTACCCCAGCTCAAAGCAAAAAGTACTCAAAACTGATTATTTCTTTAGGTCTTGACTTTTACTACCAAAGGCAAAGCAAAAGAGGAAGCAAACTGCTGTACTATCCCAGATGAAGGAAGCATTAGATTAGCTCACATCCTGCAGCAATTATGGCCAATCTGTTTACTTTTGCTGCAGTCACTCAGATTAAGAAATGCCAAGGAGATGAATACATATGTCAAATTTTATCAAATTGTAAACTTAAAATATCTGTGGTTTATGGTATGCCAGTTACATCTCAATAAAGAGAAAGAGGGCTCATGTGCATGTAAAGTGTATTGCAGAGTTCTTTGGCAACAGCAGTAAGCACTCAAAAAATCATTAACCATGAAGGTGATGATAGTGATGATGACAACTTATGACAAAGCTTTGGCACTCGCCCAGGTTGCAAAAAATAAAAAAACGCCACTGGGGCCTTTGGAGTACGTGGGAAATCTGGGTAAACTGCCCAGTTTGGTAGACATGACAAGAGAAAGATGAGTTTAAAATGACTTACCAGAGCTCATGGTGGTGGCAGGACAAGTCGTCTGCAACTGGGGCTCTGAACTGCTCTGTAGAAAAACAAATACCACACAATGCAATTGATGAATGGCAGGTTCGCGATCAATCCCAATGGTTAGTATTAAAAATGCAAACACTGTAACCCTTGATAAAACAGAGCTGAACCAGGAGTCACCTGGCCAGGCTTCTAGTTCATGGTCACCCACATACTATTGTGACCTTGGGTACATCACCCAACCTCACTGGTTTCAATATTGTTGCCCATATTTGTTCTGATGTTATCTAAGACCCCTTTCAGATCTAAAATTCTATTAAAAACCCCACACTATTTAAGTGCACATGGTTTAAAGTGAGGGTAAAGGGCAAAAACACATTTTAGAAGAAAGAGGTAAAATCACAACACAAACCGATTTGAAAACTTAATGATTCTACTGAATGCTTATTTATAGCTTACTATGCACAAGGAAATGTTCTCAATGCTTTAAATATATTAATGCATTTGACCCTCACAACCCTATGAGGTAAGCACTAATATCATGTTAGTTCACACAGATGGGGAAACCGAGACACAGACAGGTGAAGCTGTGTGCTTGCCGCAGTGAAGGAGCTGATACCGGAACCCAGACAGCCTGACTTTCTGATCCAAGTTCCTATGCACTGTGCTCTACTACCTGGAGGTGGGAACCAATACCTGATGTTCAAATGGATAACCCCTTTATTTAGTAGGGTTTCAAATTGAAGAACGCTTAAATTGTACCGACAATGCCCTAATATATGTCCAGAAGATCTTTTACCGAGTTATAGTTTGCATACAACTAAATATATCCATTTTAGTTGTATAATTCGATGCGTTTTGACAAATGTATACATCCTATAACCACCACTGCAATCACAATATACAGCTTTTCCATCACCCCAAAAAGTTTCCACGTGTATCTCTGCAGCCAAGTACCATCTCAGTTCTCTGTTAAGGAATGATGTGTTTTCTATTACTATTGTTTTACCTTTTCGAGGATTTTATATAATGGGTATCATAGTACAAGTAATCCTTTGTGTCTGGCTTCTCTCGTTTAGCATAACACTTTCAAAAAGCAACTGGTTAGATCTGGCTGGGTCAACTTCTGGACTCTTTTCTGTTACAGTGAGCTGTCTTTATCTAATACACTGTCTTGATTACTACAGTTTTACATAGTCTTGAAATCAGGTAAGGTGAGTGATATAGTTTGGACATTTGTCCCTGCCCAAATCTCATGTTAAAATGTAATCCCCGATGTTGGAGGTGGGCTTGGTGGGAGGTGTCTGGATCATGGGGGTGGATCCCTCATGGCCTGGTGCTACTTTGCAATCGTGAGTTCTCACAAGACGTGGTCATTTAAAGTTGTGTGGCACCTCCCCCACCCTTGCTTATGCTCTTGTCATGTGACACACCTGCCCCGTCTCTTCACCTTCCACCATGATTGGAAACTTCCTGAAGCTCCCCAGAAGCCAAGCAGATGCCAGCACCATGCTTCCCATGCAGCTAGCTTGCAGAACTACGAGCCAATTAAATCTCATTTCTTTATGAACGACCCAGTCTCAGGTATTTCTTTATAGCTATGCAAGAATGGCCTAATACAGTGAGTCTTCCAACTTGGTATTTTTTTTCCAAAATCATTTTGACTATTTTAGGTCCTTGGCATTTTCATATAAAGTTTAAAACTACCTTATCAATTTCTGCCAAAAAAAAAAAATTCTGTTGGGATTTTGACTGGAATCATGTTAAATTTATAGATCAATCTGTGAAAAAGTAACATTTTAACAATATTGAGTTAATACTGTTTTATTTTGCAGATAGAGACGGTATTTCTCTGTTGCCCAGGCTGGCCTCAACTCCTGGCCTCAACTCCTTCCAGTTCATGAGTATGGACTAGCTCTCCCTTTATCCAGGTATTCTTTACTTTCTCTTGGTAATGTTTTATAGTTTTCAAATTACAAGTCTTGTACATACTTTGACTAGTAAGGTCTTACTGAACATATCTGAAGGTCACACAATCTGAAAAACAAGTCCTCAGGATATGTAGAACCTTGATATTTTAAGTGTGGTCTACAGGCCATCAGCATTGGCATTAGCTGGGGGCTTAATGAAAATGCAGACATGGCCGGGCATGGTGGCTCATGCCTGTAATCCCAGCTCTTTGAAAGGCTGAGGCTGGCAGATCACCTGAGGCCAGTAGTTCAAGACTACCCTTGCCAAAATGGTGAAACTCTATCTCTACTAAAATACAAAAATCAATTGGGTGTGGTGGTGTACACCTGTAATCCCAACTACTTGGGAGGCTGAGGCAGAAGAATTGCTTGAACCTGGGAGGCAGAGGTTGTAGTGAGCTGACTTTGTATGTGCCACTGTACTCCAGCCTGGGTGACAAAGCAAGATTCCATCTACAAAAAGAAAAAAGAAAGAAAGAAAATGCAGAAGCTCAGACCCCATCCTGTATCTACTGAATCAGAATGGGCATTTTAACAAAATCCCAGGTGCTCCCTTTGCATTTTAAAGTATGAGAAGCAATGATGTAAAGGAAATCCCTGGTTCACAAATTCTATAATAGGGATGTGAAGATACAGTATAAAGGTCTGCAAAAAGAGACATGCTTTGGCTTCCTTTAAAAAAGAAAAAAAAAGCTGAAGTTGGACACTGGTTTCCTTTCTGGATGGTTGCTTTACTTACTGTCCTTGTAATTAACAGAATAGAATACTACCAATGAAAAGGAAATCATTCTAAGTCAGTCCCTGCAGCCCAAATCAGCAGCAACTTTGCCTCTGTCACTGTCAAATACATCTGAGACTATCTATGACCTTCAAGAGCTGTCCCCCGAGACAGTTCTGTAAGGTGTGGAAACATCTGTTCCTTCAATTGAGAAACACACACCTGCTGTTATCTGTATGTCCTCATGTTTTCCAATCCTAATTTTTGGTACCTTAGTTTGCCTACCAGGATCAAAAGGGTTGCTGTGATACCATCCAAATGTTTTTATTTTATAAATAATTTTTTTTATAATTTTCCCCACCATATAAATAATTTTCATGAGCAATTATATTATGCTAAGGTTTTATTCTTTAATTTTTTTCTTTTCTTTTCTTTTTTTTTTTTTTTTTTTTTTTTTGAGACAGGATATTGAGCTATCACCCAGGCTGGAGTGCACTGGTGTGCTCACAGCTCACTGCAGCCTCACTCAACCTCCTGGGCTCAAGCGATCCTCCCACCTCAGCCTCCCAAATAGCTGGGACCACAGTCATGTGCTACCACGCCTGGCTAATTTTTTAAATTTTTATTTTGCAGATAGAGATGGTATCTCTCTATTGCCCAGGCTGGCCTCAACTCCTGGCCTCAAGCAACCCTCCTGCTTCAGTCTCTGAAAGTGCTGGGATTACAGGTGTGAGCCACCACTCCTGGCCCTTCCTCAATTTTTAAAGCATTATTAAAGAAATCTTTCTGATTCAACTGTGAAGCTACCTTAACTCAAATTATTTTCATTATTTTTTAAGTCGTTCCTAGACTTTAGATACATAAATAGCATATACACTGTTGTAAACATAATATCTGGACAGCTCTGTGTTCCAATTTTTAAATGTTTCATGAACATTTTTCTCAGATTCTATATATTCAGCATATCAATCATTTTAATGGCTGTATTTCATTGTAATGACACTCCATAATCCCTTTGTATAGCTTAGTTTAATTCATCTTAATTTAAAAAAACAAGTACAAAGCATGGAGATGTCTTATGAACCAAACAAAAAGGATACCTCAACTCATACGTGATGAGTAATCACTGTCATATGTGGGTAGCCCTTTGCACATTTCACATTTCTCAATATAGAAACTACTAAGTGTCAGCCCATCTTACAAACTGACCTAAAATAGACATGGTCAGGGATAATATTCAAAATAGTTAACCATCATTTTGCCACAAATGTCTACCAACTGGAGCAGACACCAGCTGCAGCACTCTCTGGGAGGCCCCTCCCTGTGACTGCTATTAACCATTTCATGGCTGGAAGGTGAGAGGGTAGAAAGGGAATGGATCCTGGGTGTTATCGGACTATTTTGATATTTTAAGAGCTAGTATGACAATAGTAGGTGACAATGACAATGCACAGGTGAGTACCAGCTCTTCACACGAGGACTTTTTGAGTAGCAGGTTCTGTTGTGTGTTCTCACTCTGCTGATTAAATCTGCAGCAGCTGATACTAACAAACAAGGGAGAGTTTAAAACAAAATCAAAAGTACTCAGGATGAACAGGCTGATTGAAGAAAAAGAACTGCAGCAGTGGCATCAGTGCCAAGGACAGCGCCCTGGTCCAGTCCCCCTGTGTGGTAGCAACAGCAGCAATGTCCTATCCAGACTATTCCAGGGCCTGATTCTGGCTCTGATCCCAGCCAGCTCAGCCTCCTGGAATTCCTGCCCCAGTTCTGAGTGCAGTTCTCCAACCTTCCATGAACTCCGTGAACTACCCAAGATCTTGCCAAAAAACCCCTTTTCAGTTTGAGTTCACCAGAGGTGGTTTCTGGTTATCTGCCACTCAAGAACCTTGACCAGTAGAATATGGGAGGGAGACGCCCCCAAGGTTCCATCTGAAGAGGAGAATCTTCATTCCTCTCTCCTTGACATGAGGCTGACCAGATCTGAATCTCAAGTGGTTCGGCAGTGGTTGTGTCTCTACAAACTTAAGTGCTCAGAGCCTGGACAGTGACGATGCATCCATGGAACTGCACAAACTGAGCTTGACCAGAACATGAAAGCTTTGAAAATCATAGTCTAGTCCCTGCTGTTTACTTAGAGATAATATGGGCCATTATAATCAGATGTAGAAGTTGAGAGTTTATTTTACATAAAAACCTCTAACACTTAATGTTTATTTAAAAACTAAGCTGTAAAGAGCCTGATTTGGTTAAGTACATGATGGTACGTCTTTGGAATGTCTCTTACAAGTCCCCTCCAAATGAGCCAGGCATCTTTGGGTAGAAGCCAAAAGGACCAACAGTGTACCATCTAGTGGCAAAATCAGATAA